ACGGGGATACTGCACGTATAAACTAAAAGGAATTTTATTAAAGACCATCATTATTAAAAACAAAATAACACGTGATGGAGCTACCCTCCATTTAAACTGATTAACTAAGATGCCCCCAGTCTTTATTGTGAATGACTTGATAAGGCTAATTCCAGCCGCGAGACAATTTCTAGTCGGTATACTCATCTGAGTTATTCTCGTGATATGTGCTGTCACTCTGGCTAAAGAACGATTTCTTATATTTGGTATTATTTTCATCCCTGGCGAGAGGGGCTGGCCTCTTCTTGTCCTCTCCTTCCTTCCGTGCACTCATGGTGTCTTCAGCGTTGATGTGTTTTTGCGCTCTGACTAACAACTCTATCATGCTGGTGGGAGGTTCTTTTGATAAGGAGAACAAGAATCTGGAGGTTTGGAGTCCTCCTATGAAAGCGGTCAAAGCTACCTTGTCGTCCGCCTCTTCTACCTGCAACATCTCTGCGTTGAATCGGGTGATGTATTCCCGAATCGACTCTTCCTTTTGTTGCTCCACAGTAAACAGGTAGGTAGTCGGCCTCCTATGCCTCTGACCTGCAATGAAGTGGCTCACAAACTGCTTACTCAATTCTTCGAAGGTGTTGATGGTTCTTGGTTTCAACTTGTTGAACCAAACTCTCGCTGATCCCTTAAGTGTAGTGGGAAAAGCTCGGCACATGATTTCATCTGGCACAACGTGTAACTGCATAAGAGCTTGAAAAGTTTCTAGGTGATCGAGGGGATCTTTGGTCCCATCGAAGCTTTCGAACAAGGGCATCCTGAACTTGCTAGGTAGTGGACATTTCATAACGGCGGGGCTGAAAGGCAAGTTGGTTCTTTGTACCAGGTCGTCTACGGTGGCAGGACCTTTCCCTTTCATAGCCTGCATTACATCTTCCATTTTCCCCTTGAGATCCTTGATCTGCAAGTCGAGATGGGTAACTTTCTTTGTCTTTTCCTTAAGACAGAAGGCTATGCTTTCAGGAGGTCGGGAACTCCGTAGGAGAGATAGGTGAACCACCTCTCTATGTCGGGTTCCCACCTGGCTTTGTTCCACTTCAGTCTCATTTTGGGGGGAATGATTATCCCTCTCTTCAAGATTTTCATTACCTCCGTTTGGACCTGAGATATCTTGTCCTGGAAAGTTTTGTTGAGCCAGTGGAACAAGGTGTTGCAAGAGCGTTGCATTTTGTTGGATCAACTGGTTCATACCCTGACTCAGAGTTTGAACCTGTAGTTCCACGCTGCAAGCCGTGCCTGGTCGTTTGGGACGTCTAGGTTTTTACCCGACTCTACCCTTTGACCAGATCCCTGCGACGGTGTTCCTTCGGTAACCATACCGGACTGCAAAGGTATATACCCAACGAGTAATTAATTGATTCAAGGGAATCGTGATTCCCACAGACGGCGCCAACTATTGAGGCTGAAATTCGCGCAGTCCGATATGATACCGTTTTCCTGCAAGGAAGAGAGGAGAAGATCGATGAACCTTGACGGCACCGGTGTGGTGCCTGCCAAGAGCTCTCCGACGATCAAATTAGTCATGGAAGTCTAAAGAGAAGGCAGGGATTAATAATAGTTTTTACGTCGTACCTTCTTTAATGGCTTGATGCCCTATTTATGGCTGTCGATTGGAATCAAAATCGTTCCGCTGATATCGATGGTTGACCTTATCTTCCGCTTGTGCAAAATCATAGGAGATTTATTACCAGATTTGTCGGGATATGATTTAATCATTTTGACCTCCTCTAGTTATAGTAGAATTATTCTTACTTGTTGAACCACGTCAGGTTTGATTTCATTATCCTTGATAATGAAATCTAATCAATCTTATCGAGGGTAGGATAGGTTTATATTTTTCCCTATCATCAACTAATAAATATTTTTATATAAATAAACTCTTTAGCAGAACTTCTGTATTTTACTCTGGAATTTTTAATAGGATGATTACATGTGTCCTCTCCTGATAATGACATATTTTATAGAAATTATTTTTATATTAATTACTAAATAAATACTAAAATACTCAAATTCTGAAACTTTTTGTACATTTAGTATAGAATAGATATAGATATAGATGTGTGTGCGCATATTTTAGAGCTTTAATGCCCTGCTAATGGACTCTCGTCTCTGTTAATGCAGGACATGATCCACATTGTGGAATCTAAACCGACCAACATATATGGGGAGATTACTTTTTGCGTCGGATTGTTAAGGTATGTCATTCTCTCTTATTTTGTAACTTTGCTGTATTATCTCATGCTTACCAAATTTGTGGACAAGCTTTATCATAAACTCATAAATAATGTTTGATTACAGATTGAAGGAGTGATGACTGATATGGACAGGATAAAGCCGGACTGAGTTTCCCGGTCTCTGTTTGGTCTTTTCCCTTTCTCTTTTGAGTTTTTATGGTAGTTGTAAGAGCACTCCCCCCCTCCTCTGGTTCTGGATAAAAAAAAGCCCTAGTTTTTATGGTAGTTTATTGTCTTGTATTTGCGGAAAGGTTGTGTGTAAGAGAGAACCAACAGTAGATTTCATTAATTCTAGTATTGGCGAATATTTTTCTTTCTTGAAAATAACTCCAATTATTTTATTTTTACTGATAAAATTTATCCTTATTGTCATAGAATTCAGACTCCCGAATGGATCTTGTCGAGTGAATCATGTGCCGTGGTCTTATGTCGTTAGTACATAAAATTTCGGGGGGTGTTACCAACCCATTCCAAAAAAAAATCACAATATTCATGTCGGATCCGTTGTAGATAAAGGTCCCCCCTCTCTTTGTAATTAATATTAAAGAAGATGAATAGCTCCTCCAGTGATAGCCTAATAATGGCCACTTCAAACCATTAACCAATCGCCTTCAGAAAAATTAACGTTTGACACACCATATACGACTGTAACCTCCTTCTCTAGGAAGCAATCTCCGCCTTATTTGTCAACTGTACGTATACGTCTCAGTTGACAAATGCCGAAAAGTCTGACGTTGCGATCGAAAAATCTGTGTTTTTCTGATTGATGATCCGTCGAAAAGCAATCTCTCCGCCAAACACCCCATCTTCCTCAGCAAGAAAACCATTTTTTTTTGGATCTAGATTGAACTTGTCGACTCGAGCCCATTGAAATTAATCTGAAACAAAGCCCTAATTACAGAGGAGCTTGTAACATGACAAAATATAAAAAGTGGTTTTTGTATAGTTTTGCAATTTGTTTCAGAAAGTTGGTAGTAAACCTAATAGCTTGAAAAAGTTGGCATTTTTTAAAATATGCAAAATTAAGTAGTGAGATTTTAAAATTTTCCCTTGGGTGAGATCTTAAAATTTTCCCTTGTTTACCGGTTGGGTTTCACTCGTTTAACCATGGGTCTTCTCCATTTTTTTTTTTTTAATACTACATAAATTTTTGTATAAATGTTTTTTTTTCTATTGGGCCACCTAACCAATTACGATTGAAAGACGTGTGTCTTTGTCTAAAATGATAATTTTACCTACTTTATTTTAAAATATTATTTCATTTTACTGGCAAGAGGATATTATAGTCTTTTTATGTAGACAGGGGGCTATTTGCACCAAATTAAAAGTAGAGAGACAAGGAATTTTTTGCACTGTATCGATAGTAAGGTTTTTTTTTTACACTTAACCCTATAGATATTGATATATAAAGAACAAATAGTTCTACCATTGAAATTTAGACAAATATCAGTGCTATTTTGCAAAATGATCAAATTTTAGTGGAGTGGCGTGCACCGTAGGATAGCAATGAAGCAATTTGAGACTGCCCACATTCCCGTCCCTATTTACATAATCGATTTTTCAAAATCGCCCCTGTCAGGGTGGAAATTCACCCAGCTAAATGTTAGACAGCGGAAATTAATTTTTTACATTCACCTGTCCAGAAATCTAGCTCTGCATATCTATTTGAGCTTTGTTCATTTGAATTTTTTTTTTTTTTTTGTCTTTCTATTCGATCATTAAACTAACAAGTTAAGCTCAAGTCTTTTCTAGGATTTGTTTACTAGACCCGGTGTTCTGCTGGGTTAAATCCTTCAATTCAAATCTGAATTTTATTTGTTCCCCTTCTCAACTTGCAGGGTTGCGTGTAGGAAGAAAGGTGGAATCAAATTTTTTTTTTAAATTTTTTTTTTTGTTTTGGGCTAGGCTAAAGGAGCAAATAATTTATATTAACCGATTCGGTTCGGTTCGGTTCGGTTTCAAAAAGTCTGGAATCGGAATCGAACCGAAACTTAACAGTTCCACAAATTTGGAACCGGAACCAGGCCGGTGAGAAACCGAAACACCGATTCAGTTCTCTGATTCCACCGATTCTTTATACACCCCTATTAAGAATATCTTTGGAGTGCCAATATCACGAAGCTTTAAAAAATTTGCACCTTTGCTTTTCTTAGTTGTTTGTTAAATAAGGAGGTAAAATGAAATTATTATCCATTATTTACGAAAAATATATTATTAAATAGAAAGTAGATCACAATGGTAATAATGACGTATGGGCCTCAATGACTACTAGTTTAATTTATTTAGTAATATAGTAGAAGGAAATACTAGTAGTGAATAATTCTATCATTTTATTATTATTATTTTTATCTTTAATGGGCAACAAAGTGAGATGCAAGTGTTATGCAAAGTATACATTAGAGGTATTTTATGCCCTTGGCCCTTGATATTGATATATTAAGACGACAAATAGTTTCACAATTGAAATTTAAACAAATATCAGTGCTATTTTGCAAAATGATCAAATTGTAGTGTAGTGATTTGCAGCCCAGCTAAATGTGACCTCTGCAGCAAAGTGTTCTACATACCTTTCAAAACTTCACATGTTGCGAGACAGTGTTGGTCTTATTGGGACGGTTATCCCATTATTGTTTAGTGCTTCCTTTGCTATTATGGGTTTCTTTTCCCTTCGTTGGAATAATTTGGTGATCTTCCTCTCTGTTTGTGTTTTGTTTAGTTGTTAATAAAAGTTTACTTAGGAAAAAAAAAAACAAGAAATTAGAAGTTTAATAGCTGAATGAGCACCAACCATATGACTCTACTACGGCACTCAATTACTCATAAAGTCAGTCAACTAAAAAAAATTATATATCTTATTTAAAGAGTAAATTGCATCACAAAAACATGTATCTCCTATAAAAAATTCCCAGAAATAGGCCATAAAAAACTATCTCACACTGTCAAAATTTTAATCACAGCATTAGTTCCAGGACCGTGCAGCGCCACAATTGAGTCTCCTGATTTGCAAAGGTGTTCAGCCTTTGCATATTGAATAGCAAAATCCAAAGCTTTTTCTTCGGATTGCAAATCTCTGCTCAAAATAGACTTAATGCCTCGAAAAATAAGGCTGTGTTTTGCAGGAGCTTCATCACACGAATCTATTGTAGTATCAGACATCACTAATGAAATAATGGGCACACTTGGTCTGTACTTAGACAGAAGCTTTGCCGTGGTTCCACCTTTGGTTAGGACCAAAATAAGAGCTGCTTGAGAGGTATATGCCGTCTGCACTGCTGCAGAAGCCAGTGTCTCTAATGGGCTCATGGGCACTGGTGCAGCTGCCAAAATCTTCCTGAAAAGATTCTTATAATCCAATGAATCCTCTGCTTCAATGCAAATCTTCGCCATGGTCTGAACAGCGATTTCAGGGTAGGCACCAGCAGCAGTTTCACCACTGAGCATCACACAGTCTGTACCATCAAGAACGGCATTGGCAACATCTGTGGCTTCAGCTCGAGTAGGCCTTGGAGAAGTGATCATGGACTCCAACATCTGTGTCGCAGTCACCACGGGTTTTCCTTGAATATTGCACTTGTTTATCATCACTTTCTGTGCTAGAAATATCTTCTCAATCGGAATCTCCATTCCCAAATCACCTCGTGCCACCATAAAAGCATCCGAGTTTGCAAGGATTTCGTCAAAATTAGACACCCCTTCTTGATTTTCAACCTACAAAAATAATATCAAAGTTGAACAATGTTAGTTAAAAGATCCAAAAAGTCTTAAATCAAAATATATATATATATATAAATATAGATATATATAAATATATATATGCGCACATTGCACATGTATACCTTTGACATGAGGATGATAGTCTTGGCATGATCTCCGAGTAACTTTCGGGCCTCCACAAGGTCTGAACCTTTGCGAACAAAGGACAAAGCAATAATGTCAATCTTATTGGGTATTCCCCAATTCAAGATATCATCTTTATCTTTCTCAGTCAAGGTTGGGAGATCCACGATAACTCCTGGAAGATTGACATTCTTTCTCTCACCAAGCAATGCAGAGTTGTCACAACGACACCGCACCAAGCCCAATTCCTTATCACAAGAGAGAACTGTGAGTGAAATAGTCCCATCAGAACACAAAATCACACTCTGTGGCTTCAAATCCTCAGCCAGCTTCTTGTAGCTCATACATATGAGCTTATCATCACCCTTTATGCTGTAATCTGTGGAGATGGTGATTTCTTCCCCCTGCCTCAGTTGAATGGGTTTTCCATCCTTCAGAAATCCCGTTCGAATCTCCGGACCCTGTAAAATATCAAACCTTGTTCTTAATTCAACAATGCTTAAAAAAATTTCCCCAAGGTAAGGTTAGTCTTCATGTCAACGTAAACAAAACCCAAAAAAAAAAAAATATGAATAATCAATCTTTTAACGCAATTTTTCTATTTATTTTAATTAATATTGATAAGTCTCTGCTCATCAGAAAAACCCACACAGCGATTTAAGGAAATTGATTTTTTTTTTTTTTTTGGTAAGTCTCTGCTTATCAGAGGTAAAAAAAACTTTTAAGGAATTTGATTTTTTTATTTTATAATTAAGATTCATAAGTCTCTAATCTTCAGAAACCCTAAGAAAATTGTTTCTTTTTCTTTTGTTTTTTTTTTTATTTGGGTTGTAGATATATGATGCTAATTATATCAATAAAAAAATTAATGCCTATAAAAAAATAAATTACGGAGTAGAAGTTTAATAGAAACAGAGAGGCCATTAACAAAAATGCTTAAAAAAAATTCCCATAAAAGGTAAGTTAGTCATAAAGAAAACCCACACTTGATTAGGAATTAAAAACCCGGACTTGATTAGGAAATTAGGAGAAAGAAAAGAAAGGGGACTTGAAATCTGGGAAGGCAACATTAAACTTTTTTGGAACTTAATAAGAGGTCAACATTATGTATTAATAATCTTAAAATATTTAATTGTGTATCAAAATTTATGAGTTTAATCACAGTACTAAAAAAGGAATTTTTCCTTACAAGATAACCCAGACAACCTTTAAGGAAATTGATTGATTTTAAAAAAAATAAAAAATAAAAGAAATTAAGATTGCTAAGTCTACTATGCTCATCAGAAAAACCCACATAACAATTTAAGATTATTATTATTATTATTTTGTTATTGTAGATATAAGAATCTAATTATAATAACAATACTTATAAAATAAAATATAAAAAAAATGAAGAAGTCTAATGGAACAGAGAGGCCACGAACAAGAACAATTAAAACAGAGAGAGGCCAATAACAAGAACATGCAAAAACAAAGAGAAAATAGATTAATACATACGCACATTGAATTGAGGTGAGAGAAAGTAAACAGACCTTGGTGTCCAACATGACAGCACAGAGTATGCCGGTGTTATTCATGGCAATACGGAGGTTATTGAGAGTCTCTAGGTGGTAGGAGTGAGAGCCATGTGAGAAGTTGAATCGAGCAACATTCATTCCGGTTTTCAACAACTTCTCTATTATCTCCACCGATCTCGAAGCCGGTCCCAATGTGCACACTATTTTAGTCTTGGGCCTCGCCCCCTTCCTACCCTCATTTATTAGAGAGAGAAAATTACAATCACTTACAACCGCCATAGCCAACCTTCAAGATCGAAAACACACTGGAAAGAGAATATTTTTTTGCAGTTTAAGTCACTCCTCGGTATTGCTATTTATATAGAGAAGATAGTCAGTCACAAGTCCCAAATAAACCAGGAATTTGATTTGAATCTTGTTAACGTAATTTCCTATTTTATTCAGAGTTGGGAGAGAAAAAGGAAACTTTGACTTGGGAGAGAAAAAGGAAAGTGGACTTCTTATGCCTTTATTTAACTAAAGTACGGTGGTGCATAACATCCTCTGAGGGGTATTTTTGATAAAAATTCAAAAAACAACACCCGTAATTTTTTAATAAAAAAAATAGTAAATGGCCAATCTAGCTAGGAATTGGGCATCGGCCACTGCAGTGATCGGACTCACAAGCGCTTGCGGACTTATTCGTTGGCTCGCTCATTGGCTCTGGCGATTCCGCCCACAATTACTTAATCTTTTTTAAAAAAAATTCTTTGGCTGACCAGCTATCGGATGGTGGAAAAAAAAAAGATTTTGCAAAACTAGGCTATTTTTAAAATAAAAATAAAAATAACAATTCTTGCTCAAAACGACGATGTTTTGAGGATATAATTTTTTTTTTTTTTTAAATAATTAATTCAACTTACACTCCTTGACGTTTGCCTATATTCCACACACACCTCCTCTACGTTTCATAATTCCACCTACAACCCATATCAGTAACCACCGTCTAATTTACCAACGTAAATGTGTGATTTTATTATTTTACCCTTGAATTATATATTAAAATTTATAACTTAATGAAAAAGACTTTAACACCTTCTATTTAACTCTATTAAATTTCTCTCTTTCTACTAACACACACATATATATTCGCACTATATATATATATATATATATATATATATATATATATATATATTTCTTTTTTCTTTTTTTTTTTCTTCCCTTTCTTCTTCATTGTTGCCGGCGATGAAGAAGCTATGCCACCGATAAAATACACAAACAGCAACCACAAAAAAAGATGGTTCTTATCACAACCAAGCCGTTCTCCTTACTGTCCACCGTTCAATTGCAAGGACAGTTCATTACAGCTCCGTTGCGAGACCACCAACGTGCAGTGAACAAACCGCGAAGCTTCGCCGGACTGAACTGAGCTTCACCGGACTTGGGATCGCCGGACTGAACTGGGTCGAGGTAGCTGTGAACTTCACCATCGTCGTCTTTGATCCGGCTTACCTCATTCTTGTCCAGCGTTACGACGGTGACTACACAACCGTAGATTCGACGACATTGAAGTCCGGCGTTTGGACTGAACTAAGGATTCCTCCTTTTTCAGTTCAGCGAGCAGTGATTCAGTTATACGAAACCCAATTCAGTGATTCAGTCGTTCTCAAAGCTAGAACGAGAACGAACTAAGTTCGACCAAACCCAATTCAGTCTGGCGAGCAGCGATTCCTCAACCCACCTCGGTGAAACCCAATTCAAAACGGCCATAAACACGCCGGACCCAACCCTTACAGCCTTTCCAACATTGTGCTGTTGATCACTACCGTCGGCGCCGGAACCCTCGACCGTGACTTTTTGGCCTCGACCCTTGGGCAAACTGAAACTCTGGCCTCTCTCAGTCGACAAACCACTTTAAGAATAAGCAATTGAGAGCTTGAAGCCAGCAAAATGAAGGACCAATTTGGGCTCCACAATTGCTTCAAGGGTAGAGGGAGAAACTTTATAGAGAAATCGATGATATAACTGTAACGACCCATTCCACCACATGGTGTGATATTGTTCGCTTTGGGCCTGAGCTCGCACCATTTTGTTCTTAGGCTTTACCCTAAAAGGCCTCATGCCAATTAAAGTGACACACCTACATATAAGCACTTCACATTTCCCTTTCCCAGGCGATGTGGAATTATACACCCGTAGTTCGCCAATGTGATAATCTGTCAGTATCTTGCACCCGCCCACAGAGTCATCACAATCCACCCCCCTTAGAGGCCCAACGTCCCCGTCGGCACACTTCCGGCTGGGTCAGGCTTTGATACCATTTGTAACAACTCACTCCACCACATGGTATGATATTGTTTCCTTTGGGCTTAAGCCTGCACGGTTTTGCTCTTGGCCTTTATCCCAAAAAGTCTCATACCAATTGGAGTGACACACCTACATATAAGCACTTCACATTTCCCTTTCCCACCTTTCCCTTTCCCAAGCGATGTGGGATTGTGCACCCGTAACTCACCAGTGTGATAACCTGTCAGTGTTTCTCGCCCGCCCACAGGCCATCACAATAACCAATCTCTGACCCTAGAAAAGAATTACATGGGTCTGTGTGTGGAAAAAAAAGATGATATATGAATATATATGTATATATATATATATATATATATATATATATATATATTGAAGTGAAAGGAAGGGTATTCTTGTACACTTGAGTTAACAAATTAAGGGCAGTTTTGTAATTGCGTATTAGCGAATGAGGTTAAAGATGTCATTTTAGACATTAGAAGGGCAAAATTGACTTTCTAAAAATTTACTGATGCTGACATCAGCACACACCGTGAGTTGCTTAACGACATGGGGTAATTTGCTATACAAATCAAAACCTCAAGGGAGGTATATAGAATATTAAAAAGTAGAGGAGGTGTAAGTGAAATATGGGCAAACGTTAGGAAGTGTAGGTGGAATTAACCCCCCCCCAACCCAAAAAAAAAGAAAATAATGTTGTTTTGCAAACCTTTTTTCTCCACTATTGGGCAACTGATCAGCCAAATAGTTAGGGCGTGTTTGGCTGATCATTTCCCACAAAACCTGTTTTTTCTACTTTTTTGGGTAAATAAATAATAAAGTCCTTAGTCACTGTTTTGCTGACCCTAGTAGTGCCTAATTACTATATTGCCCTAACAAATTTTCTTTTTTCTTTTTTTTTTTTCCTTACACTGCATGTGCTTTTGTGTGTTTGTATATAATAAATATTCACCCCAATATAAAGTCATCGAAAGTATACAATGGTCATCCAAAGTTTATTGGAAAAAGAATTAATAATAACTTTTATTAGATAAATTTGGTTTATGAAACAAATTATAAATTTTTGTCATATACCGTTAAAATATAACTGTTGGTAAAAAAAAATTATTAAAAAATTTTTTTTAGAGAGGAAAAATTTAGAGAAGCGGCTGCCGTGCTAAAATTTGGAGAGTAAAAATTACCTTGAGAAAATTAATGGGCATTTCGAAAACCTGCTCTTGAAACAATATTTTAGGAATTATACTTTATATGAATCATTCAATTGCAAGGTCAAACACTCATATAAAAATGCCAGTCACTCTCGTTTGACTGAAATCCAAAATACAAAAATGTCCCAAATTGTATGTTAAATACTGAGACAAGCGACTTGGCCAGAGAAATTTGTTAGCAACTAGGCATAAATTTATGGTGGAGCCCACCAATCATGAATCATGATAACCTTGTGGGCAAAGAAAAAAAATTTTACTAAATTATTTAGGACCATGGCAATGTTACAATTATATCAAGGGTAAAGTGAACTAAATTCCCTAAACTATAATCCAATTGTAGGAAACTCTCTAGAGTAAGTAAAACCCTTTAAACTATCATTTTGTTGCATTGAAGGACAAAAGGTTAATAGCTGTTAACGGAAAAGTTAAATTACCTTTTAGCCCTTTAGTTGAACGAAGTCGTTTTAAGTTCAATCTATCTCCAGCTGCTTACGTGGCACATGCAATTTCAATTTCCAATAACAAAGTGACAGCACATCAATTTTTATTTTTTATTTTTTTTGATCGACTGTGTAGCAAAACCTCCATTGTTGCAGAGGATAACACAAAGGAGAGGTAGAGAGAGCGCAATCGCGTTTGTAACGATGGCAATCTGTGTTGAAGTGGTGGCATACAAGCTCGCACCGCATCGGCTTCACTTACGTTCCTAACTAGTTCCAAATAAAAAAATAGCTTTGTGTCTCTAAATATGGCCACTAAAGACCCAGCTCCTTTTTGGGTTGCTTCATTGTCCTTTCGTCTTCACTTTCTCTCTTCACCTTCTTCCTTCTCAGGTGAACCAAAATTTCATTCTCTTGTTACCCAGTTAAATTTCATCACATTTCGCTGACAAAAATCCCAAAATTAAGCTCTGATTGATTCACACTTTTATTTATTTATTTTTTCTTTTGGGCGTCTTTTGAAATTCATCCAATTATGTGGAATTTTTTAGCATTAAAATTGAAGTTTGGGCATGATTCAATTTTGGGTTTCCTTCAGTTGATTCAATTTGGTGTTTGATTAGTGAATTAAGTGATTGATATAAGGATTTTGTACTGGAAATTGATATAGGGAATTCTTTCATTGATAACAAATTGAGTAGAATGATGGAATTGGAGTAGTTCAAAAACTGCTATTCACGCGTGTTAGGATAGGCACTTCAACTGTAACCTATTATATGCAGTGTTATTTTCACGTTTTGGCAAGGATCCGACGCTTTTTCGGTATACTTCCCAATTTCAGACCTCCCTGCTTCGCTAGACGACGCAATCCTCCACATCGTCGCCGACCAACTTTCTGGTCAATACCCACCTCGCAGATGGCGAATTCATCGGAACGGTTGAAGGTGATTTGGTGAAGAGAGCTTTGGTTGCTCTGATTCTACCTTTGTCTCACCAGTAGGAAAAGAGAGAGAGACTGAAGATGGCCTATTTTGCCGAATATACAAATATGATATATATATATATATATATATATATATATATATAATAATATTTTATCTCTGATATAAGGGTTAATTTTGTCTTTTTAAAAATTTTGCCCCACACGTGACAGGCATGCTGTGGTTTCTATTATTTTTCTAACGGATATTTAACGATTTGCAACAAAAGAGATAGTTAAAGGAGTTAAGTGTCTTTCAGTTAGTTCAGGGGGATTTCTTGAAAAAGATAAGAAAGTTTAGGAGGATTTAGTGCACTTTACCAAACTGATTTAGATGTTCGATCGAGGGTCATGTTTTTTAATATTGGACTTGGGCATTCTTGTTGGGTTGGGCTTATTGCCTTGTAATGTGTATTGTCTAAAAGACTGGGTTTTTGGGCCTGTAAAGAATATTTACACACACATATATATATATACAATTTGAAAATTAATCTTCAATAAAAAGAAAAAAAAGTGTTAACTTGGCCCAATAGCCACACAAATATATTCCATTAAACTATAATCACAAACTCATTCTCTGTCATATTAGACTCGTGATCCAAATGTCATATTCATGTAACAAAACGTCATTTCTATGATTAAATGAATGGTAGATGTATGAAATTGTTATAAAAATGAAAACTCCATGATGAACTCACAATAATAAGTATAAAAGTTTGAACTCTCTTTCTCAGAAAAAATAATAATAATAATAATACTAACCCTCTAAATTACCATCCAAAAATATGCATGCATTTCTTTCCTTTTAACCATTTTAATTATTTTGATTCTAATTCAGACCTATCAATTAAGTTTTAATTTATCTGTAAATTTGTGATATTGGAGGTAATTAACAACCTTCATATATCGGAGAAGTTGAATCAAGCAACATTCATGCCAGTGTTCAACAGCTTCTCTATCATCCTCACCAATCTCAACGCATTGCGGCCCTAATATTCACACTATCTTAATTTTTGGTCTCGCCTCCATTTCTTTTTTAGCATATGTTATAGAAATAAAAAAATTACAAACACTTACTATATTGGTTTTTCTATGTCCAAAGACTAATCTACGTGATCAAATAAAGTAAGCAAGGTGATTGTTTTACTAATTATATTTGAAGTACTGAATCGATAATTTGAATTTAGAATATATTCAAATAAATAATAAAATTGTATTCCTCACACAATCTTTATACTCTTTTACGAAGTTATGGTGATGAGCATCTCAAAACCTGCTCTTGAAACAACATTTAGGGATTATGACCATTCAATTGCAAGGTCAAATCGTCAGAGAAAAATATTGCAGTCACAAAAGCTACAAAGATCATAAACCTAGGAGCATAAAAAGTTTTAAACTTTTTTTAAATATTACAATTTTACATGAATGGTCTTTTTTTTCAGGTGAATGCGGATGTTTTTTACATAAATGACCCATTAATTTGTAGTTGAAAATTTTATATTAGAAGTGTATAGTCCTTAAACACTAAACTTTCTTTTCATTGAAATCCAAAATACAAACATGTCCCAAATTGTTTATGTTAAAGCATACTTTGACACAAGCTTGTCGCTTGGCCAGAGAAATTTGTCTACAACTAGGCATAAATTCATGGTGAGGCCAACCAATCATGATGAACCTTGTGGGCAAAGAAATAAATTTTTATTAAGTAGAAGTGAAGTGTTACAACTACATCACTTATGCCTGTCGCAATGTTACAATTATATCAATAAACTGATCTAGATGTTCGATCAAGGGGCTCCCTTGTTGGGTTGGGCTTATTGCCTTGTAATGTAATATCTAAAAGACGGGAGCTTTTGGGGGCTGTATAGAATATATATATATATATATACCTTGGAAAATTAACCTTCAAAAAAAGAAAAAATAGTTTTAACCGGTATTCCATTAAACTATAATCACAAACCCATTTTTATGATTAAATGAATGGAAGAGGTATGAAATAGTTATAAAAATAAAAACTCATGATTAACTCACAATAATAAGTATAAAACTTTAAACTCTCTTTCTCAAAAAAAAAATAATAATAATAACCCTCTGAATTACCATCCAAAAATATGCATGCATTTATTTCTTTTTAATTATTATTTTTTTTTTTTTGTAAATTTGGGATATTGGAGGTAATTAACAAGCTTCTTGTATATTAGAGAAGTTGAATCGAGCAACATTCGTGGCAGTCTTCAACAGCTTCTCTATCATCACCACCGATCTCAACGCCAGCCCAACGTTTCTGGTAATGTGAACAATATTTTGGATCCTAGAACAATGTGGACTTTTTGGATCCTAGAACAATATTTGGAAGGTAATGAGTATCAAATTCTCATTGACATTACAAAAGGGTAATGTGGTAATCTTTCGGAGACAATGTTTTGCCTAAAACAAAAAGGTGAATTGTTTTAAATTAGTGATATGTTTGTAAGAACAGATGGATGGATTGGATTTGAATTGAAAGAAATTTGGCAAAATTCATACCACAAATTTCATACTCCCAAAAATATATATATATTTAAACAAATAATGAGGGTGTGCTCTTAAAACAAAATTTTGGGATTACCCTTGTTTGAGTCCTCTTTTGCTCTTGCTAATTGTTCTCTTATCAGAGTTGTTTGGATCGGTATGAACCATTCAATTGCAAGGTCACATTGTCTTCAATTGCAAGGTCACATTGTCAGACAAAAAATTGTAGTCACGAGCTTTTAATAGTTGGAGCGTGAAAAGATTGGAGAAATCCTTTTTAAATATTTCCACTTTTCATGAATGGTCTTGGGATGACATGATCACAGCTTCAGTGTGCAACAAAGAATCACAGCTTCAGTGTGCAACAAAGAATCTTTCCTTCTCTTTTATTATTATTATTATTATTATTATTTTGTGCACATATCTCCAACTTTATAGCAAAACAAAAGGGAATAAAAAAAAAAAAAGGAATTACTTACTTAAAAAGGGCAAATGTTACACATGAAAAAAAGACTTCACGGTCCATAGAAAGTTAATTTGAACCAAACACACCCTAACATACAAAGGTCGTCCCATTGTCACTGCATAAATTCCCAAACAGACAATTACTTCCAAAAACACACACACAACCATGCTGTTGATAGTTTAAACAAAATTAGTTCCCCAAAGTTTCTAACTGAATTCAATTCTTCTCTAACAGAGGAAAAAAAAAAAAAATGGGGGGGGGGGGGGGGGGGGGGGGGGGGGGCGGGGGCGTAGCATAATAATCATTTCACAGAGCATAGAACTTTTTTACTTCAGAAATAATGATTCTTAAATAATGAAGATTTCTATAATATTAAAGATTTTCTCAGGTGACTGTCGATGATTTTTACATAAAGAGGCTCCTAGGTCAAATTCACGGCATTTTATACATGAGAGCCATGTATGTGCATCCCACCTAGGTACTGTTGATATTAGCTCATACGAGCCAGGTCCACAAAGACGGACAACTTCCTGGCCTGACCATTTTAGCGGGCACCACCAAAATTCTCTTCAACTCTTCGAAAAATTATAGTGTGGAGGAAGTTCTGGAGTTCTGAATCTTATCATCCCGTGACGTTGGAGGTGGAAAAGATGAAGATGAAACTGCTGCATGATAAGACGAAGATGCAAGTTGGGCAAAGGCTGGAATAGCTCCACCTGCAATTTGCAAGCCCATGAGGCACATTAGGTCCAATCAACTAAGCATACGAAATATTCATAGTCCTGCGGAGAAGATCCATATTCTATTCTAAGAAACGAAAAAGATCAATTTCCCACATCCAAACTTTCTCTTTCCTTCTCTCTTAACATATTAAATTGTTAGTTTATTCTCTTCTCTTCTATCCAACCGAACAAAAAGAAGGAAATACACAATCTCTTCCCTATAGATATTTCATCCATCCTTTCTTCTCTCCCTTCCATCCAGATTTTTTATTTTCGTACCTAACAAAGCACAAGTCACTCAAATAGACAAAGTTGTACCTATTGATATCAATAACTCCCAAAACAACTTAGAATCTGGAGGGGACTAATCATTCACATTCTAGTAACATAGAGGAGTAGAGGGAGTAACTACTTTTCTGTCTCAAATAGGAATGGAACAAGGAAGCTTTAGAAAACACTAAACTACTAAAGCAAAGCCCAAAAGGACAGAATGTATTTGGATCCGTCTGTCCACTGTATATAAAATTTACTCTCTCAGAACACTTCTAGTATACCCTTGTATTCCTCCCCTCCCAAAGAACCAGCAATGAACCTAGCATTTCTTGAAACAAAAAATTGGCCCGTAGCACAACTAAACATAGAAACTGTACTCTAAAAAAGATCATGCAGAGAGACAGCTACATTACTTCTTGCTGTGTTTTTTTTTTTTTTGGGTGGGCGGGTGGGGGGAAAGAGACGAGAGAAAGAGAGGCAATATGGAGAAAAAAATAAATATAATTATATGTAGGAAAATGATATTCACACCCCACTTGCACTCCACTTGAACTTTTATTATATAAATTGACTAAATAACCCACAAAAGTGGGGGAAGGGACAAGAGAAAGAGAGGCAATATGGAGAAAAATAATATAATTATATGTAGGAAAATGATATTCACACCCCACTTGCACTCTACTTGAATTTTTATTATATAAATTGACTAAATAACCCACAAAAGTGCAATGCATGAATACCGAGTGTGAACATGTTTTTGAGGGGTGATTGTGTAATTTTCTTTTTAATGAAGGGCAAAGTATCTAAAACATCCCCCTAAGGTTTACTTTTTGAGCAAATAACACCCCTTTTTACTTTGGGTATATAACTCCCTCAAGAATTTAAAAATGTTGTAAAGGACTTTTCGGCTGTTGCTGTTAAAAAAACATATGTCTCGCACATGACTGATTAAATTAATAAATACCAAAATTACCCTTTATTGATCCCCAAAATGCCCTTCCCTTTTGTAAATAAATCTAAAAAATATAAGATATAATAGTAATTTTACATTAACTGAATTTTTATTTTTTTTAAATTGAAGGAAGGGCATTTTAGTATTTTCATCACCCCATTAACGGTCAATTGATGGGAGGTCCTTATTTGCCCCTACAATAAACGTTAGGGGGTTTTCAGAACCTTTAGGAAGTTATATGAGTTATATGCATAGTACAGGGGTGTTAAATGCTCACGAGCTTTAGGCTCCGTTTGTTTGGAAGTAAAATATTTTTCAGAAAATATTTTTTAACATATTTTTTTACTTTCTGGTGTTGGTTGTCGTAAAATATTTACGAAGAAAAAATATATTAAAATTTAACAAAAATTATTTATCCATAAATTTTCAACAAGTTATTTTACATGCCCCGCCCGATGGACTCGACCTCAACCTCGACGTAGATCTTTGCCAAACACTAACAAAATAAAAATAAAAAAATATTTTACCTGAAAAAGAAAAATATTTTCCAAAAAGAATATTTTACGTCAAAACAAACGGAGCCTTAATGAAAGCAAGTGGAATGCAACTATCATTACCCTATATATACATGATGATCTGCTTAGATATGGTGTCACATATTCAGGAAATAAAAAAAGATATGGTGTCACATGCATAAGCAATTATATTCATTTTTACCTTGACCACGTCTTTGTCTCAAACCTCAAAAGGATACAGCCCAAAAAGTACAGTTACTTTTGTTCATTGAGAATTTATGTTCAGTTTCACAGCAATACTACTAAAGTAAATGACAGTTCATGTAACCAACAAAAATACAGCTACAATTTTAACTGATCTATGGAGAAAACTCTAACCTGCCAACCCCGCACAGGCTGAAGAAAAAACTATCACTGGTGGAGCCTGCATCCATGAAAGAAATGTCAAAGAGTCACCAGCAAAAAGATTTTAAAAATTATATATACTTATTGGTTGCATTAATTCTTTCAACATCATTATCCAATGGTTCCTGTCTTTCCTTCCTTTCAATCCACTTGGGTCTTTTCAGTCAGGGGAAAAAAAATAAAATCCACTTAGGTGGAAAGTAAATGGTGGCCTAGAAGGAAACTTTCTCCTTTTCCATCTCTCTTCACCTATCTTTCCTACCAAATGACAGATACTCACCCCATTCCCTTCCTTTTACTCCCCCTTCCCTTCTTCTCTCTCCTACCTTGAACAATAAGGAGCATAAATAATGATCAATAAACCTACAATGCAGCTCGTCAACATAGGAATTCTAAGGCTTTATTCCACAACATTGTGGCAAAAATCATCTTCCTAACTTCCAGCCATCGAATAATTTTTTTGCACTCACTCCTTATAAAAGAGGCCATATACAGTGTAATCCGCATTAACAGACTCCAAAAGGTTGCCTTTTAACAATTCAAAAATGAAATGCACTTCAAATAGAATGTTTAAGTTATCTCAGGACTCCAAAAGGCATGGGAAAGAAGAAAAAATAACGGATCTCAAATAAAAAGTACTAGTCACTTACACCAATGAGGAAATGTAACCACATAGGTCCTTTGACCGACTTCTGAACAATTGGCATCACTGTAAAATCAATAAAAAACAATAAGGGAAAAAATAAAAATAAATAAAAAAAGGCCCAACACAAAGGTTAGGATTATTTTCATGTTCTCTTAGCAAATAATTTTTACTTGACAATTTCAATGCACGTGGAAAAAACAAACAAACAAACAAACAAACATACAGAACAAAAACAACAGTAGCAACAATAAGAACAAGAAGAAAAATAAGGAGAGAATTTAAAATGATTGACATAAAACATAACCTAATAAAAGTTAAAAACCAACACATGACAAATGACTAATACATCTTTTGGTTTGTGAACCATCTATATTTCAAGAGGAAATGCAACCATGAGTGCTGATAACATGTTCAAAAGTAACTTCATGACTTTAACTAAACTAAATATAGCAATTGTTCTAGAGGTTAGTGAAAGTGAATATATATAACAGGAATCAAGACATTTCATGATGAAAATAGAGTGCAAAGAAAGAAAAAAAAAAATGTTGCCCCCAGCACTAGTTGAATCACACCATCAGAATACCAACTATTAGTTTAAGTATTGAAGGTTCTGAATCGCAAATTATTTATAATTTATGCAACATTATATTACATTGAATTTCATACAATTAATAATAAAAAAAGGACTAGCCCAGTACACGAGGCGCCCGCCGTTGTGAGGTCTGGAGACAATCAAATGTATGCATCCTTACCCCCGCATACGGAGATGCTATTTTTTGTTTTGAACCCGTAACCTGATCAACCTTATCGGTGCGCAAATGCCCGCCATCACATAATAATTGATAATTCTTTTGGGGGGAAAACCTACTCTTTAATTGATCTAGAATAGGAACACAGCGAACCAAGCAACAATTACGAAATACAACAAAAAAATAAACACATCACACAAAAAGAACACAAAGATTTATACGTGATTCGGCAAAGCCTACGTCCATGATGGAGAATTGGCGAAAGTCTTCACTATGTAAAATCAGAGATTACAAGTTTCAGTCCCACACTCTCTTTCTGTACGATTTTCAGTATCTCTCTATCTTCCAACTCCAAACCCTAAACGCCCATATATATCAGGCTACAAAAGAGTCCTAATTAGGATCCACGACCCACAAACAAAGACGGGTCAAAAAAAATTCCTCGGGCCCAAACCCCCATCCAACGGGTCGAAAGTAGGTCGCAACACGACCCCACACCAAATTCGGGCCACGACATCACAGGAACATACATAAAAATGCAACCAATCACAAAGAGGAAATGAGGATGTTCTCACATAATCATGTTTTAGCCAACGAGATTCTTGAACAGCCAAACATATGGGGTTGTTTCTCTATATCATTACATTTATATGATAATTTGCTTTCAATAAGAATAGCTGTTTTCTTTTCATACTTTGCCTTGTAATAGACATGAGATAATTGGTTATGAAAATTTAGACATAGTGTAACTAGTGTTGAAATATATGCATAGTCTTTTTCTCCCCTTTTTGTGTGTGAGAAGTTTTGGCTAGTCATAACTGGATAAATTTAAGTTATAATTATAAATTAGTACAGATAGTGCCACCACAATGATTAATTAGTAGAGAGCAACTGGACCTTGTATCTAAATTTACCAAGAAGCATAAGGTATGAGATTCAAAGGAAAAAGGTACAAATATAAATTCTTGTCAGCAAAAAATTCAAGTCAGTAGCTGCACATTGATCATTAAGTAAGACGCACAATAATTGTAGAAACCAAATTATCTAACACAATATAGCTAATTTCTCAGGCCAATAATTCAAAGGTTGGAACCACAAATCAATAATCATGCTTTACCACCCCAATAATTTATGACATACTGTTCTTTTAGGGTGTCAAATTTGGATTTGACAAAATTATATTATGATAACTCAGACTTTAAGTCAGATGTTGAGAAGACCAATCAAAAGTTGTTGGTCAAGAAAATCATTTTCCAACATTATATATTACAACTCGCTGATCAATCGATTGACCTAACTATATAAAGTCCCTAGAATTAAAGCCACAGAAAATAGAAAGACTAAAAATGAATAAGATGAAATTACCACGGTTGAATCCGTAAAATGCACTTGTCGTACCACCAACAGCAGAACCAATCTAAATCAAGCAAGAATAGTGATTATAATCATATCATAACTGCGTCTGAATTAGCAGAAAGATACAACAAGACATACACATATTGTATAATCTATATATATATATATATAAACATGTGTGTGTATTGGATTGTCTCTGTAGTATGATATATTTAGTAGATAGATGATGATAACCAGACATTTACCATGGAGAAGCTATCCCTGATAAGCGGTGGAACAGTCCAATTGCTAGTTTCCTGTCATGAATTGATAAATGAGACAAGAACACAAAAATTATAGGCTATATAATTTACAAATTCAAACAATTACACGGACGAAATAGAAATACATATTGATATATGGGAGCACGAATAGTGCGCCGAGATTTATCAAAGTTTAGCTGAGAACTTACCATCTCTTTCGAGAGAGGACCAGCACAGTGCGGACATCTCAAACTGTTTTTAGGGTTTGAGTCCCCCATCGAAGCTCTCTGTTTTTCTCTCTTTAGAATCAACAGACCTCCCAGTTCCTGAGAATAATTGGGGGAAATGAAAATATATATAAAACAAATATAAAATCGTTTCTTCTTTTTCTTTTTTCTTTGTTTTTTTTTTAAGAGAAAATTGCATAACCATGGAGTCGGACCTCAAATTACAGAAACATGAAAAAATCCAACTCCATCTTTAGCTAAAGTGGAAATAATTAAATAAAGGCCATGTTGGCAACTGCGGCTCATGTTTTTGGGTGTTTTTGTTGTGATGTGATTTATTTTTTAAAATAGACGTGTGTTTGGTAACTAAATTTATTCCATAATATTTAAGAAAAATTTGAAAGTTCTGAAAACAATATTATGATACTATTTACGACTTTTTTAAAAAAATTGTGACAATTTGAAAATATATATTTTTAGTTTTATATTTTCAAATTTGACAAATTTTCTGAAGTCAATGAGGCAAATTTATCAATTACATTAAAACATATGAAATACCATGTTTAATCTTTCTCTCTATCCACTACTCTCTCTATGCTTTATTAATTTAGGTTCTCTAAAGCCCTTACTCCTTTTTAATTTCCATGTAATTTATTTTCTCCATCGTTCTAATTCTGAGCGCAAGTTTTCTACTCCCTTAATCTCTCTTTTATATCATGAATTATTTACATGTAAATCTCTCTGAAACAAAATTAATGATGCTAAAAAATAAGCAACGAGAAATTACAAAGAAGTTAGCAGAAATGTAACAAAATCAGTATAACTCAAATATTTGCCCATGATACGATCACGTAACCAAAATAATTTGATAACAATATGTATATGTATATGTGCGTAGCATTCATCGCATTTCTTCTCTTTCTCAATCTGGTTTTAAATTCACAGACACTACCCAGAATAAAAAAGAATGATTTTGTACTATATAATTGCACAATCCCAACAAAATACAAATCGTCGACAAACACAGCCTCTCATTCTTCCATACCCCAATCAAAATTCTTTACATTTTTCCTTCTGTGAAAACCCTCCGAGACATCATCATCTTCGGTACCCAGATTCCTTTTCACCTCTCCAACATTGTCCACTGCAATATGGTATAACGTCTATTTTCAACTTGGGATCAAGCTTTAATGATACAGCATCGAAACCTCTGAAATTTTTTGGACAATTTCCAAGTGTCGCACTCCTCTGAACTACAAAGATCCATCTCTTTTAAAGAGAAAAAGGGACTGCATGTGTGCCTGCAATCAGGAGTCTGATCTTGTAGCAGTGAAGGATGAGAGGAGACCTGCGGCTTGGACCGGTAGAATGTCGCCGAACATGGAAGCTGCCGACTTGTCCTTGAACCTTCCAACTTGCCCATCTGTCAGTATGGACCCCAGTTTCAGTGTGCTCTCCCCAAATCTGCTGCCAACCTGCCAATTACAAGAAGGAAACTTTTTCCTCAAATGCGGCAAGAAGAGAAACAAGAAATAAATATAAAGGCCCAAGATCATTTTGCTTGGAATTTTCCCCAAATTCCAAGCAAATGAAGAAAATGGAAACCTTAATAGCGCAGGGATATGGACGAATACACACACGAATCAACATATGAGAAGGATGCCTATTCCTCAAAAAGGTGGCGTATTCTTAGAATCACTAGCATTTTAAATTCAAAACAAGAAATAAATATAAAGGCCCAAGATCATTTTGCTTGGAATTTTCCCCAAATTCCAAGCAAATGAAGAAAATGGAAACCTTAATAGTGCAGGGATATGGACGAATACACACGAATCAACATATGAGAAGAATTCCTATTCCTCATAAAGGTGGCGTATTCTTAGAATCACTATCATTCTAAATTCGAACTTATCCACTAAACTGGTAAATCAGTACAAACATAAGGATATTGCAAGAAACTTGGCCAATCTTGAAATTGACCATCTTCAAAAGCCTATTTTACCCTTTTTTATGCCCATCTTAACCTTTATACTCTCTCTCTCTCTCTACCTGAGGGTTCCAATCCAACATTCTGCAAACCATTGTCCACTTCTATGATAATGTCCATCAGTTGGTTTGGGCTAGGAATGGATCAGTTCCAGCCAGTGCAAGCGATTCAACATCTCTTGGAAAGTTAGCAAAGGGTTTTACAAATTAATTGTATACACCCAAAATACTTGAAAATCACATCCAAGAGCAACTACACCGGGCTGTTGTTGGGTGTATATGGGAGGTCCGATTTAATTTGAAAGCACCAGAAATGTAATTACCATATGTATCATCCAGGTCTAGAAATTTAATTTGAAAGTTTCAAACAATCAACGCCAAGTTGAAAAGGACTGCGAGTTGTTCAAAGCTAAGGTTGGGAAAGTTGGATTTCCCATTGCATCATCAGAAAGTTTGAGAGCACAAAACAAAGAACATATCAGGTGACATTTTCACATATTCCATCTTTTCTTTTTCTTTTTTTATATAATACATGGTTTTAGAGCAAAAAAGTAAAAGCACATGGGACAATAATGAGAATGTGACAGCCATAAGTGGGAAAGGGATAAGTTGCAATTTTTGAAAAGATTATAGAGTTAGTTGAAAAAAATAGTTCAGGGGAGTTTTCCAAAAAACTTGATAGCTCGAGGGGGTTTTGTGCAATATCCTAATGAGTTTGAAGGGATCAGTAATAGTGATTGATAATAAAGTCCTTTTTCCTGAATATATGCATCAAACAAATGTGATTCCTTAACTGGAAGCTTGCTTATTCTTATAAACTCTACTTCAAGAAGTTCCAACCCTGACTTCACTTCTCATGAATACATGCACAAATAAGTTTTTTTTTCCTTTCTAATTAATGTGATTACTCGGATCTCCTAACGGTTTCTAATGTTATATGGATTCTAAATGTTTGTTAAATTCTCTAGTAAGTGTCCAAAATGAGTCTGTCATTGCCATCCTCAATGAATGCAACTCCATGACTTTGGCAGGTTGTCTACTAATATATTTGCTAATGCAAGGTTTTATGTGTTCACCTGTAACTAAACAAAAATGCAATGGTGGAAGCCTTACCTGCATGAAAGACTTCAAAAAAGGTGCAGCCACCCCAAAACTTGAGTTGTCATCAATATCAATCTTTCGAGAGAGTTCTTCATTCGTAAAACTTCTCCAGGAGCTTCTTGAAGAAACATCATCCAGAGACGTTGAAATTGATGTCTTAGTTGTCCCCCTTGAAGACAATGCTGGAGCACTGGATAACCAATACAAAAATTAAGAATTTACTTCAAAGAACAAGTAATCTGGGGCACTAATCCTTCGCATTGGATCTAAAGGTATAGAAAAAGGCCTAACCATCCTAAGTATGTAATAAAATGTAAACAAAAAAGACAGGCCATGTAAATAATATAATTTAAGCACTCTATCAAGTTTAAGGTTAAAGACAGCAAATTTACCAAGCTTTTAGACAAAGATGAGATGTAAAACAATACAATATGACAAAAGACCAAATAAAATCTTTGTTAAAAGGAATAACAACATTAACCTGATGGGAAGGTATTTAAAGCGAGGAACAGTGGAACATCTCATAACATTTGACTCTGAATTAGAAGGCATTCTCTGCATAGAGTCCATGTACATCCTATTAAGTTGCACAAAGAAGCCAAATAGCACAGCATGTCGTAGGTACGACTGCCTCTCATTCTCCCAGAGATATGGCTCATACCTGAAATGTGTTGCAATGAATCAGAAATCATTATCAAATAGGAATATCAATAAAAAAAGTAAAACAAAATAAATTATCAAATCAGAGGAAAATTCAATTTTTTTTTAAATAAAATAAATTTGGAAAGAAGAAACATTGCATCAAAACAGAAGCCTTTACGACGACAGGTGACATGCATCTAAGAATAAAATCTATTGTTTTTTAGTCCAATAATAGTTTTGCGCAAGGAAAAATTGAACTTAATGACTTTAATAACACAACTTTCCAAATGAAAGGACGTGTCACGACTATCCTTTTTTGGTGAGTTGAAGTTGTCACGGTCTGCAAAACACAAAGAGAGGCCATACAGTTAGCATTTGTGTAGTTTTTTAGTTTTAACAGTCGAGACGTTTCAGTTTGCTAAAAAAACCTAAACCTTGAGGTAAATCCAAAACTTTCTCACTGAAGTAATCATATGTCATGTCCACTACAAGTCTATGTTATCACTTATCATAAACATAAATATATTCTACTTTAAAAGAATCACCATTTGAAGAGTCCATACGATAAGTTTGCTGATCATGTTAATCTTTCATGATCTAAAAAGGGCTAGCCACTGCACTAGACTCCCGCCATTGCCTGGTAAGGGGGGGTCAGGGGTGTCAAATTACGTAAACTTACATCCGCATGCGGAGAGACTGTTTTCCGCTTCAAACACGTGACCCCAGGCCAAAATGGAGCCCGTGATTTAGACATTTTTTTTAGTTAATAGTGTTAGTTTTCTGAATTATTGTGCTATTTATCTTGTGCGACCAAAACACTTCCATTTTTGGCCAATCAAACATCATGTCATCCTCGGCAGTAAAGTTTGAACAGTGGAAGTTTGGGCCAAAAGATCTCCTTAGCATCCCCCAAAAAGATAATTATTTGTGTTCTAAAGTAATTCACATGCAAGCTCAAATCTCGATTTACATGATAATCATGACAAAAGTAGTATGTATACGTATGTATGTATATATATATATGTATGTATGTATCTTGAAGTTTGTAAATCAATGATAGATATCTAGACTTTTTTCTGTACACAAAAGCACCGAGCTAGAAAAGCTTACGTGAGCCAGTCTATGGGGTCCAGCCTCTGCGAAAGACGACTAATCAACCCATCAACCTGCTCTCTGATGACAGACTTTGTCTGATTCACATCTTGCTTCCGCCTGAAAGGAAACTTCGCCTTTGAATTTTTTGATAACTCCTCATGTGTATCACAATCGCCCCCCGAAAGAACGTCAACAACAAATTTTAGGTCTAATAGAACTTGCAGAACCCCTTTATCTGACAATTTAGAACTGCAAACCTCTTCATTTGAAAGCAAGTCCGCATAAATATCAATAACCTACAAGAACATTACAAACAATATACAAAAACCAGAATAATTATGAATTTTCTATCGAGCCAAAAGGATAATATGATCTTATTTAATCAAAACTTCTAGATGAATGGAGAACCAACAACATACACTCAGAGAATGTACATGATCTTTATCTTGAATTCCATACTCAAATCAAATTCTCATGGTTTCTTTTTTTTTTTTTTTCTTTGGGTGTGGGGGGCACTGGATGGCTGTAAATTATCAAGCTAAGATGGTTCTTCTCCTAACCCATTTTTTTTTTTTAATGTTAACGTAACATTACTCAAGTGGACCAGTTGAAACTAGGGGTGTTTCATAAGGGAGGAATCATGTTCAAGTTTCCAGGTGTTTTATAGAATTCCCTGACTATCAGTCACTCCGAGTCTGAACTCAGGCAACATTGAACCATAAAATATAATTTTCCATTGCAAATGGGGGGATTTAGGGAAATCAGAACAATTGCACTGCTTTAATAACTATTACTTTTCGGAAAGAGGAAAAATCCAGAATTTCTACAAAGAATTTTTGTTGTTTTAATTTCATTTCCAAAGTATCTCCAAGGAGTGTCCATTTATGAAAAAGCCAAACTAAACTTTAGCCTAAATCCAAAATACATCTTCTCATTTCTAACTGATACAGCACTAACTTCAGAACAGGCTGTAACTTAAATATTTAAACCCATCCACATTTATATTAATTCAAGACAAGCATAACTATTCGCAAAGGTCAGATATCCCATAAGAACAACCGAATGGCTTCCAATGTGACAATGATGAGCAAATATAACAGCATGCTAGGAGAGTTAATTAAAGATCAAGTACGATCAAATATGAAGGCAAGTTTTACTAGTGCAAACCTTTTTCAGTAGTGTCGATGCGAATTTTTGCAGAATTGTCTTGTCAAGTACATGACCTCCAACTCGGTGAATTTCTTCACATGCTTGGAATAGAAATGAGTTAATATAAAGAGAAGGCATGGATGGGAGCGATATTTTCATCTCTGACTGGCTCTCGGTAGACTGCTCTTGCTTGACTATTGTCTCCTCCCAGCCCTGCCAAAGACTTAAAAGATGACTGAGCTTGAAATATTAAGAAACGATATTCAAGTATCAGTCCTCAATTAGCATATTATCTGGTGCAAGATAAGAACTTAATCTTTATAGAAGACAAAAAAAATATTTGACCCTGATGAACGTAAATAACATAATTTTTGATAAGTATGAACGTAAATAACATAATGGAAATGCAAAAAAAGTAAGAAAAGATGGAAATCCGCATGTACCCTGACTGATATATTCACTGAATAGACATTCAACTGATATATTCACTGGAGAGATTTTCAAGAGAAGCCTACCAATAAAAGCTCAAGATAAGCCCACTTAGTTAACAGGAAATGATACCTGAATTGCGTTTTCAACCACGCTTAATAGAAAATTCATTTAATGTTCAGTTGTTAGCACTTATTGGGTTATCAAACATTAATGAAGTACATCTAAGTACCCAAAGCCAAATGCATGATTTTTTCTTATTTATGCAGGAAGAGAACCTTTCAGCTAACTTTGTGGAATTATTTTCCCAAGAATATGGCATTTAAGGCTTTGTTTGGTGTTAACTGTTAAGTTATCTAACAACTACAAAAACAATGTTACTGGAACAACACCAACCAATCAACAGTATAGTAGACATATTTACACTAATAAATTTGTGAATGCCTAAAAGAAGCAGAAGGGTGTGGATGAAAGCATAAGAACCTTGATAATTTACTCAAAAGGGGGAAGCTAGTTAGCCAAAATTTAATTGATAACAACAACAACAAAGACATCCAGCAAAGGTAACTTACTCTCAAGGGACTTGTCGTAGATAATCCATCATCTCGTCTAAAATCCTCTGAGAGAATGGCTGAAAGCTCACCAGAAACCCATGATATCCACAAGTCGTGAGCTCTAATGCAAAGATCTCTTGTTCTTCTACTAAGTTCTTCAAGTTGTGGGCTTGAGCTATCAGCCACTCCAAACAAAGCAGAAGTGGCCAGAGAAGTTTGTCTTTTAGAGGAGTCAAGCATTTTCTTTCCTATGCTGTCAAACTTGGGAGAATCAATAGTAATGCTCGAATGCCTCAACAGGGATGGTGACTTACCAGAAACAGCAGCCGCAGTTTCATTGATCCACATCCTTGGAGAACCAAGTATTACTGGTATGTGTCTTGAGTGCTTTTGGAAAGCAAACAGGAGTCTCCCAATGAACAGAGATCTCTCAACAAGTACAGGCAAAGGCACAGACTCACTGTCCCTTTTGCCATTTCCCAGGGCAGCAGACAAGTGTTCAAGCTCGTTCTTGAGTTCCATCAGTATGGCTGATATGCTTCCATAACACTTATTTTGTAGATATGGAGCTAGATCCTTTAACCTCAAAGATGCCTTTGGAGACTCTAGAAAGCTCAATAGGTCCACAAGAACACTCTTGCAGCTGCTGTCAACTGCATCCCTTATCCGGCTGACTTCAGCCCCAAAGTAGGCATTGAGACAGCTGTGAAAATCACTCTCCACAGGCAGTTCCCTGGAACCAGCTAAGGGACCAGTCTTTTTATTGTTCGGCTCCATGAACCAAACCCCACCAGCCGTAGCAGATCTTTTTAAGTATGCCTGGAAATCAACCAGGTCAGCAGAAGTCTCCACAACAGCACAAACTGACTCCTTCACTTTAACAACTCCAGTCAATTCATCAAATCTGGAATCTATGATAGTTCTCATCCTCCGTACAAATGCATCTTCAAATATTTCATCCCAGAGATCCACATCGTCTTCCAAAACAAGCTCACGGATTCTGTTCCATGGCAACTCAATCTCAGAGCCAAAGACAGTCTTCAGCCAGTCTATACTCCCCTGCAACACTTGCTTACTATCCATGGTCTCCCGTATTAACTTCTCGGCAGAAGAAAGCTCTTGACCGCTACCAATCACATCGATCAAGTACCTCCCACTAATTTTATTAACAATCTCTTTGCCACAATTTCTCAACCAATCTGAACAGGTCTTTGCAATGAAATCTCGACTAAGCATAACCATAACAGACTCTAGTTTATCCCTAAACAGTTCCCACAACCTGACTTCCTCATCAGGATTAAGAATTCCGCCGAATAATTGAGAAGCAGGAGGAAAACCCAATATGACTTTGTAAAACAATGGCATATCATTCAACACTTGCAAGAACAATTCACCTACTTGTCCTACACTAACCTGAATTATCTTCATGACTTCACAGAATACCAAAATCACATCAGAACTAGCAGTAGTGGCAACAGAACAAGTACTCAATTTTTGTAAAATGCATGCCTTTCTCGAATCAAGAAACAGAGACAAAACCTGTTTGGGATCGAGCTCGTCCATGACTGCAACGGCGGCGAGAGCGTCGGCATACGCAGAGATCCCGAGACCAAGAGCTTGATCCAACAACCTCTCCCGACTCCTCTGCGAGATCTGTACTTTGAAGCTCTCGACGATCTGCCACTGGTGCTGAAGCAGAGGAAAATTCGGCAACATGTCCTTGTTATCCTCATTGTTGAAAAGGCTATGGTGGACCTGCTTTGCCCTAACATACCTAGCCGCGGCTTCGAGAAACATGGATTCGTCGAGACGCCCCCAGATACTCTCCGTCGTGTCCATCAGGTACTTGACTCGGCAAGCGACGTAGTAACATTTGAACCGTTTAGGGTTCGGAGAGACGGTGAATTTGGGGGTTTCGGCGGAGAGGGAGTGGAGGATGGCGTGGTGGATGGCGGAGATATTGGCGGAGATGGACTCGCAGGAGGCTTTCATTTGGACAATGGAGTCCGCGGAGTCGATGAGATCGCGGTAGCGATTGCCGACGAGTTGCCGGAGCTCCTCGCTCTTGTCCTCGATCTGCTTCCTGGTACCGGCCTCCACATTGCGGATCTCGGAAATCGGCTTCGCGCGGAAGAGAGATTCGGCTTGTCTGTCTCGGTGGTGTCCACCTCCTCCGCCGCCGACAACGCCGACTCCATCAGCGGTGGCTGGTGACGAAGGTACTCTCATGGTAATGGCGGATTTGGAGAATCCAAACTGATTCAATATATGGGTTTGAAGATTAGTATACAATCTGATAGATCTGTTTCATGTAATTTTAAATGCCCTCGAATTTAAACGAATTTTATATTAAAATATATTTTAGAGCGTAAGAAGACAATTTTATGAAAGAGATCTATAAAATTCAATTGAGGTAAGTCTGATTGTTTGGTTCAGTCCAAAATACTTTTCGTTATCAGAAAATTATAAAATATGGAAAAGAAGATGAAAGACTAGGTTGTACTCCGTAATATGTTTTTGAAAATTATTTTTACTATATATATATATATATAAATTATTTTTGGGTCAAACTTATTTTTATTTTCAAATTTTTAAATAAGTAACCAAACAAGTCATTGGAATCTCGATTTGCAGGTGATGAAAAATTGTGAAAGTGATACTGCAGTGTTCCCAACTTCCCAGTTGGATCTTTACATTTTTTTTTTTTCTCTTCTTTTCCTTTTATGTTGTTCGCTTTCCGGATTAAATTTTAAGAATGAGAGTCAAAATGGACAAAAATAAGTTCATGTTCGATTTGTTAGCTGAGTTGGTAATCGCTTAAAATAAATTAAATAATTAATGTTTAATGTAACTTATGTAAGTAACTTTCAAAGAAGAATTTATTTTAAGTTGTATTGTTTATAATGGAACAGGTCGAATTTTATGGTTTTCTTTTCAGTGCAATATCGTTAATGAATTTAATTTATTTCACACGTGCTTGCTAAGTGTTTGCACCATATAAAATAAATCTTTTTAGGACGTTGTTTCATTGGAAGAAAAAATTTATACCGTGTTATTAAAATAGGATTCTTATTTTTTTTTTAAATAGAGTCTAAAGTTACGTTCAAAACAAAGTTTGGATAAAGATAAGATGGATAAGGTTAAGACAAAGTTAATTTTTATTCAAATGATGTTTGAATTTTAAAAAGAAATTGCTGCTACATTTCTCTATAAATAGAAGAAGGAGGAGGCCTTGTGGAAAAACACGATCATTCAACAACTTCAGTTTTTATTTCTCTGTAATTTCATTTAGCCTTTAAATGGTACTCTGTATGAGAATTTTATTTATAAAATAAAAGTCGATACTTGGCTTCAGTCCCCTCTACTTTTATAGTCTATTAGAATAGATGAATGTTCGTATAATTTGTTTTACTCCCTTCATCCATTTACTTATAGTGCTGAAAGTCATCTTTGTTGAGGCATTGAACAACCTTTACTAAGGACTGATTTCATATTCAATCAGTACCAAGAATAGTTTGGCTATTTAACCCCTTGGGTTGAAAGACTCCGACACTGCCCCTAAAAAAAAAACAGCCAAACACTAAGTAGTTTCACACTTCTGGGTTCAACGACCTACCATCACTTGTCAATTAAGTGACCTCCTACCATTACAAACATATAACCCAATAAATATATATATATATATATAAAATAAAAAATTAAGCCATGCTTGAAACCTAACAGATTGGAAATGAAATAAATTTAAGTAAAATTTTAACCTACATGAATTTTAAACTACATATCAAAAATTTAAGTAAATTTTTTGAGTTAGATTAGTTATTTTTTGAGTTAGATTAGTTATTTTCTCTTAATATAATTCTCTTAATATAATAAAGGGATGTTTTGGACCATTGTGACTACATGTCATGAACTTTTCATTCAATGAGGTTTACTGTAGCATAGTTGCTCTCGCACTTTGCTGCAGCCCAGACAGACAATATATTATCTATATATGGTTATTTAATAAGATCATATATATATATATCTACTTGGAGAAGGTATAAATTTAACACATTGTATTGCAGATATAAACGAACCAAATTTCAAATTAATGCTGGCCACCCTAATTCAAGACTTCCAAGCTATGGTCCATAACCCATTGTTGATGTTTCTTAAAGCACAATATATCAGAAGGTTCAGAAGGTAACAGTTTAGAGCATTTTTGCATTGCCTAAATGAATTCAGGTTGATTTTTAGGCTATAATAAATCAAGAAGCATTGCGTTTCCCTTCCATTAAGAAATTTTCCACCATTCTCTTTGTGTTTAAATAAACTACTTCCTTTTCATGTGTTTCTAAAGTCCTCTGTTCTTGTTCTTTTTTTTTCTTGAATATATAGAGAGAAAAATATATACACCGAAGGTTCCACTCCAAGACATATGAAAAAATAAGAGCTAACCATCAGAGTGTGATAGATGAATATATTATCTGCATATGATTATTCAACAAGATCATATATATCTACATGGAGAAGCAATAAATTGTTGACACCAAAATTATGTGGCAGTGACGTGGCAAATGATGGATCTTCGTAATCGTTCTATTCTCTCAGTCTTTTCTATATCTCTCCCTCTTTTCTTTCTTAGTCTATTGTTCCGATCATTACAATTCATTCATTATTAAAGTCCTTTTATGTTTTCTTTCTTCTTCAATCTCCAATCACTGATAGTCAATTTTATCAAAGAGAGTAGGATTGACTACACCCATTCAAACCACATTGTTGATTTTCGCAGGCCTACACACATAAATTTTTGAATCGAATTAACTAGTCGATTTTAGAATCAACATAAATATAACACATTATATTGCAGACATGAACTAACAAAATTTCAAATTAATGCTGGCCACCCTAGCAGTGGTGAATATCATCATCGTTCGAAACGAGGAGTTAGAAAAAAGAGCAGCATACACAACTCCAAGAAATGACAAAATGAGTAAACAATTAATCTCAACTCTCTAGCTTCCCACGAATCCTACCCTTTCTTGGTTACCTTGTAAATAGCTGCATCTGCTGACTATTTTCTTTTTTCTTTTTCTTCTGCTAGCTAATTCACAAGATGGATTTCCATTCTCAAGTGGAAAAATACTCTGTGCACCATCAAGTTGAATCAAACTCTCCACACAAGAATATAACAATAATAAATATCCATGGATTCCTAGATCCTTAGTTGTTTGGGTCTCAAAATTATAAGACTCCAGATGGCCCCCGGGGTTAAATTGTAGCTGTTCACCGCTCTTCCCCATGCAATTAAAACACATCAGTGGGTTGTTGAAATTAGCAACATATTGTTTTGTCCAACAACCCATTTTACCATACTCCATTGTCCATACGTCGTAACAGTTCCAATTCTTCCAACCCCCATTCCCACAAGAAGGTATAAAAAGATAGAGCGATTCCTCCAAAACTGCAATATTTTCCGGGCATCTACGTCCAGCAGCAATCGCATCTGGCAGCCTTACCTCTTCAAAAACTCCATCACCCATTTCGAAACGCACAAGTAAATAACACCACTCATCATCAGTTTCCTTCTTCGCAACCCAATATGCAGCTCCATTGAGGACGGCGGATCTACCACCAATGAAATAACATGAAGGCGGGGCAACATCAATTCTTCTCCAAGAGTCGGTGCTTGTACTGTACACTTCAGCTTTTCTGGGTTCAAACCACTCGCACAAAATCCTTACTACCTTGTAGTCATTAACTTGGGGGAGGAACCCAAACGCCACATAGTTCGTACACATATCCGAATCCGAGTAAGAAATTTGTGGTATTGGGAGGGTCTTTAGTTTTCCGAGTGCTGGGTTCCATAACCATGTTCTGCTTTTATTAACTAAGCATACCAGGCCATTACAGGACCCCTTCACAACTAAAGATTGTTTTACGATGCTTGAGGGAAGCTGGGGTGCATAATACTTGCGAAAAGATTCATCGTCATAATGTATTGAGTATTTGGGATGCGGCCGAGAATCACTGTATCTGATGATGATGATATAACTAGTGTTTTTGCTTGAGGTTTTAAGATGTACTTGAATGAAAGTAGGGTCAATGATTAGAGAATGCCATGATTTGCGTACTGACTTGAATCGGAGTAGTGATTTTACCGGCAGTCTAACCAGGATCTGAATCAAGATCTCTTCCGGGAGATACTTTGCCTCCGCTCTTCTCATACTCCTTCTAGAAAGGCTTACCGGCCAAAGCTAATACGGTTTACGGTTTCCTTGATGGTTATTCTGGATAGAACCAGTGACAATTGATCCTCAAGATTAAGAGAAGACCACATTCACATGTCCCTTTGGAACATTTGCCTACAGACGTATGCCCTTTGGGCTATGCAATGCACCGACAACTTTCCAAAGGTGCATGATGTCCATATTTTTAGATATGGTGGAAAAGTTTTTGGAAGTATTCATAGATTCATGGATGATTTTTCCGTCTTTAGATCTTCCTTTAACTCATGTCTCCATAATTTATCCCTTGTGCTTCAAAGATGAAAGGAGACAAATCTGATTCTAAGTTAGGAAAAGAGTTATTTCATGGTCTAAGAAGACATTGCCTTGGGGCACGATATTTCTAAAAGGAAAATTAAGGTCCACAAGGCAAAAGTCAAATTGATCTCCAACCTTCCTCCTCCAAATTCTGTCCGACAAATCCGTAACTTTCTTGGTTATGCCGGCTTTTATCAAATCAATACACACAAACTTATAATGATCACAAACCCTAGACGCTTAATTCTCAACTCCTAGCCTTCGTGGAGTTGAGTTTCTATATAATCTTTGTGAGGTTACTTGTAATTATATAACTTACCATATCTATCTCACATGTTCCTTGTATGTTTATAATCGGAGTATATACTGTTCTTTCTTTCTTTTTCACTTTTTCTTTATATTTTTTCCAATTTAGAACTTGGATTACTATTAACTACACTTTCCCATCCAAACACTATGTAGACGCCTGGGATTAATTACGTCTAAGCATCTCACTCAAACTTTGATGTAGGTTATTAATAATTTTGCCTATATTAATTAATTCCCTTTTATTTCCAGTTATTTCTTTTTATCGTGTTAAAGTGCAGTTTAGCAAGCAACCAGTAAATAATCTCTTTTAGAAACCATCTTTGAATAAGCCTTTTTTATTTATAACGATAGGGACTTAAATTTCATGAATATCATAAATTGTACAATGATCTTCAAAAATTTAATAAAAATTAATTTCTATTGAATTATGTTATTAAAAATTGTGTGTCGGCCCATTTTGTCAAAACTATACCGGCCCAATTCTGCATCAACTACTCTTGCCTATTTATATATCTTTCTCTCAACAACCTGGCACTAATGTGAGTCCAACTCGATACTTGGATTGGGTAGGACACTTCTATTTTTTTTTTTTCGGTTCAAATTTAAACTTAGATAAATATATTGTGGTTATTAGATCCAACTTGAAATAAATTAAATAATTAATGTTTAATGTAACTTATGTAAGTAACTTTCAAATAAGAATTTATTTTAAGTTGTATTGTTATAATGGGAACAGGTCGAATTTTATGGTTTTCTTTTAAGTGTAATATCCTTAATGAATTTAATTTATTTCACACGTCGTTGATCAGTAGTTTCATACTTCTGTGGTTCAACCACCTACCATCACTTGTCAATTAAGTGACCTTCTACCATTACAAACATATAACCCAATAAATATATATATATAATAAAATAAAATAAAAAATTAAGCCATGCTTGAAACCTGACAGTTTGGAAATGAAATAAATTTAAGCAAAATTTTAAACTACATGTGATCGATCATGAACTTAAGTAAAATTTTAAACTACATCTCAAAAATTTAAGTAAAATTTTTAAGTTAGATTAGTTATTTTCTCTTAATATAATTCATGTTTTGGACTACTGTGACTACATGTCATAAACTTTTCATTCGATAAGATTTACTGTAGCATAGGTGCTTTCGCACTTTGCTGCAGCCCTGACAGAAAATATATTATCTGCATATGATTATTCAACAAGATCATATATATATATATATATATATTGCTGATTTTGTTACGACTGCAGACATAAATTTCTAAATCGGATTAGCCAACCGATTTTAGGATCAACATAAATTTGACACATTATATTGCAAACATGAACTAACAAAATTTCAAACGAATGCTGGCCAGCCTAGCAGTGACGAAAATATCATCATCGTTCGAAACGAGGAGTAAGATAAAAGAGCGCAACTCTAATAAATGACAAAAATGAGTAAACAATTTATCTCAACTCTCTAGCTTCCTACCCTTTCTTGGTTACTTCGTTCCTCGTAAATAGCTGCATAAGATGCGTTTCCATTATCAAGTGGAAAAATACTCTGTGCACCATCAAGTTGAATCAAACTCTCCACACAAGAACATGACGATAATAAATTATATCCATGGAATCCTAGATCCTTAGTTGTTTGGGTCTCAAAATTATAAGATTCCAGATTGTCATGGCTCCCGGGGTTAAATAGTAGCTGTTCACCACTCTTTCTCATGCATTGAAAACCCACAAATGGGTTGTTGAAATAATTAGCAACATATCGTTTTGTCCAACAACCCATTTTACCATACTCCGTTGTCCATACGTCATAACAGTAGTTCCCATCACAACGTATGAAAAGATACAGTGATTCCTCCAAAACTGAAATATTTTTCGGGCATCTACCTCCGGCAGCAATCGCAGCCGGCAGGCTTACCTCTTCAAAAGCTTCATCACCCATTTCGAAACGCACAAGTAAATAACGCCAACCCTCATCATCAGTTTCCTTCAGTGCAACCCAATATGCAGCTCCATTGACGACGGCGGATCTACAACCAATCAAATGACATGAAGGCAGGGCAACACCAATTCTTCTCCAAGAGTCGGTGCTTGTACTGTACACTTCAGTTGTTCTGGGTTCTAACCCCTCGCACAAAATCCTCACTACCTTGTAGTCATTAACTTGGGGGAGGAACCCAAACGCCATATAGGTCCTACAAAACTTGAAATCAGAGTAAGAAACTAGTGGTATGGGGAGGGTCTTTAGTTTTCCAAGTGCTGGGTTCCATAACCATGTTCTACTACTGTCATTAACTAAGAGTACGAGGCCATTACAGGAACCCGTCACAAAAGATTGTTTTACGATGCGTGAGGGAAGCTGGGGTACATAATACTTGTGAAAAGATTCATCATCGTGTATTTGGGATGCGGCCAAGAATCACGGTGTCCGATGATGATGATATAACTAGTGTTTTTGCTTGAAGTTTTGAGATGTGCTTGAATGAAAGTAGGGTCGATGATTAGAGAATGCCATGATTTACATACGGACTTGAATCGGAGTAGTGATTTTACCGACAGTCTAACCAGTATCTGAATCAAGGTCTCTTCCGGAGATACTTGGACTATGCTCTTCTCATACTCCTTGTCATTAATCAGAAACCCTAGCTATATCTTGATATCAAATCAATACACACAAACTTATAATAATCACAAACCCTAGACGCTTAATTCTCAACTCCTGGCCTTCGTGGAGTTGAGTTTCTATATAATCTTTGTGAGGTTTCTTGTAATTATATAACTTAGCATATCTATCTCACATGCTCCTTATACGTTTGTAATAGGAGTATATCCTTTTCTTTCTTTTTTTCACTTTTTCTTTATATTTTTTCCAATTTAGAACTTGGATTACTATTAACCACACTTTCCCATCCAAACACTATGTAGAGGCCTTGGATTAATTACGTCTAAGCATCTCACTCAAACTTTGACGTAGGTTATTAATAATTTTGCCTATATTAATTCCCTTTTATTTCCAGTTATTTCTTAAAGTGCAGTTTATCAAGCAACCAGTAAATAATCTCTTTTAGAAGCCATCTTTGAATAAGCCTGTTTTTTTATAAGGACTTAAATTTCATGAATATCATAAATTGACACTAAATGATCTTCAAAAATTCAATAAAAATTAATTTTTATTGAATTATGTTATTAAAAATTGTGTGTCGGCCCATTTTGTCAAAACTATACCGGCCCAATTCTGCATCAACTACTCTTGCCTATTTATATATATCTATCTCTCAACAACCTGCCGCTAATGTGAGTCCAACTCGATACTTGGATTGGGTAGAACAATTCTTTTTATTTTTTCTGTTCAAATTTAAACTTAGGTAAATATATTGTGGTTATTAGATCCAACTTGAATTATACTCATCTAGAAGTATGATGGTAAATTGATGCACTATAATATATATATTTTTCAATTATGATTTACTTTGAAAGAAACATACCTACTTGTCTTTATAAGAACTTGAACCTTTGATTTTTTATTTTGAAAGGTAAAGAAATACCATTAAGCCACACATTCTATTGATGAGACTCTATCTTATTTTGACTACTCCACTGTATAAAATATTTGTTGGACTTTTTACTAAAGTCACCAAAAAAATTAATTCGAATATTATAACATTACTCAGTTAAAAATGGAAAGACTATTATTTACTCTTCAGTCCTCACTCAATGTTCCAAGTAAAACTTCAATTGCTAGAAGCCAGCATAGTATTTCGAGGTTATTAGCCACTTCTCTACATGAAAAAATTATCTTAGCATTAAAATAAATCTTCTTCATTTTCACTTACTTTAATTTCCAAAATGTTAATAAAAATTAGGTGAACAGAGGACAATTATAAAAGCAGTGTGATACGTATCAATGATAGATGGAAGAACAAGTTGGGGTTAGGGCAAGAAACTTAAAGATGACTTTATATATAGTATTGCAACAAGAGATAGGTTTGAAGTCATTCATTGATGAACGATTGGGAACTAAGGGCAAATAAGAAGATTTGACCATTCACAAAAAAAACCTCTCTAACAGCATTTGCAGCATCATTTTCAAAAATAGGCCAAGTTTTTTTTTTTTTCCCCAAAAAAAAAGGCAGTATAGCCATCAAGGAGATTTGTTACGGTTGAGACTCAAAAAGCAGTTTCTAATCTCTTCCAGATGGGATAACAGCAAGTGATTCAAGGAACTAGTTAGATATGGTCTTAAAATATTATTAAATTGTTCAAATTAAACCTTTTAAATTGGCATACACTCTATCGGTTGTCAATGGAGTTAAATTCTTTATTTATTTATTTATTTATTTTTATTATTATTTATATCCAGGTAAACTAGGCGAGAGGAGACTTGAATACAGGCACACCCGCTTGGGGAGCTGAACGCTCTACCAACTACGTAACTAGGTAATATCCGAAATAATCTCAATGAATGAAATTGCACAATTGCAATTGTGACTGTCCATAGCAAAACTTTAAAAAGAATAGATGGATACAGAAAATGGTTTCATTGTATTCTGTGTTTCTCTAAAAATGTAAAATTGCTAGGTGCTCCTTAAAGTAGGAAGATGGATTCCCTCTGTGGGTGAAAGGTTCATTGATCAGGCACAACAGAAGCCCCAAAGAGATTCTAAAAGTAATTGCAATTCTGAATAGATTATCATTTGGCTTTAGATGTACATCCTTCTCTTGCATATACAGCATTTTCAAGTCCAGGCCTAACTCATGCGCCCGCACCCCCATCAAGTTTGGATTAACCGATCCTTTGAACTTCTCAGCGGTGAAAAGGGACCGGGATACTGATGGACCACAACGCCAGTGACGCGCAAGCTGTTCAATGCAACAAGATCAGTGAGTGCCACAAAGACTCTTTAAGTATGCAAAATATCAGAACATGCCCTAATCTATTTCTGAAAAAGGTAAATACTTATGACAAAGTGACACTAATCATGAATACTGAAACTTCAAGAGCATCTAATCATATACAGCTGAAGTTTAAAAGATGGGTGGGAACCCATTTTGTGTGGCTTTGAGTGGAAAGAATAACAAAAATTCTTGACTTGAGAATACAAACCATTGGCTTTAGTTTGAGTTAAGATTCTCACATTCCATTCCACAGCATCTTTCCAACTTTTTCTCCCCCAACTTTTTTCCACAAGGAATTGCATTCCGTGGTCATTTCTTTTGTTTCAGCCAATGCCAGCACCAGTAACAGATCGCCGCCAATAAGCATCTTATGTGTTTTATCCTTGATGATTGACTAATCCATAAAAACGATTCTCAAATGAAATGGTTACTTTTGTATGAGCTTCAGCTTGTCCTGAACAGTAAAATCATATAAACATAAGAGCCTCAAAAGGAAATATAAGTACAACAATATCTCTCCTTAAGTGAAGTGGATAAGATTATACTCAAAAGTAACAGCAGCTAGATATCAAATGTTGAAAGCTAAAGCATCCCTCGCCCACACGCAGCGAACACGGTGCGAATAACTGTTAGGGCTTTATGGCAACATCAGGGAAAGGTAAGTACTTTACTTGTACCATTATTTGAAAGATCACTATCTTGTCTTTCAGAGACATGAATTTGAAAGTACCAGTAATAGGCTTATTCTATTTATGATTTGGTATAACTACAATAAAACATCAAATGGTTTCTCAACTGACCAATCAAGAACTTCATGTTTTGTTAAAGAAAAAGGTAAATGACAAGATAGATATAGTACAAGCAACTATCATAAAATGGATCATCGTCAGATTATATCGATGCGCAATTAATGTTGCCATGTGATCGTACAGAGATTAAAAATCTTATACCCCTTCTTATTATAAGGTCTGGGTCCTAAAAAGGCAACTAAAAAAATCAAGATTGCAATTCCATACATCACAAGACAGGGTTCAGACAGCTGATTCTGATTGGCACCTCAACACTTTAGACAAGATGGGCATTAGAATTACAAGCTACCGTGATTTACCAAAACGGGCTAGAAACTATATGCAGACAATTATGGAATAAACTTTCATGCAACCTGGTCATACAAAACTAGGAGTCATAAAAATGTACATAAATCTATTTTAAGTATATAACTAAAATACATTTCTTTGCAGAACCCAATACAATCCAATTTCAATGCAGTCATATTGATCATTGTTAATGTGATCCAAAATGGGATCAGAATATATGGGAGGTCTCATATACCAGAAGCCATTTAATGTTGTAACTTGTAGGGCACAAAATCATGTCCCTCATGCAATATTCTTATCCACATGCCAGCAAACTATTAAAGAATTTTGCTTTAGAACTTTATCTAAAGGCTTCTATAGATTCTACCGAACTGCATAAAATATGCTGACATATCAGAATCAATTGATCTTCGTAAAAAGTTCAACTTGAAATACTGTGTAAATGTTGCTTAGAGGAGAAGAATTAAACTTACTTTACAAATAAAAGGTGGTCTTATAATTTTGATGTTATCTTGAAATGCTTGTTTTAGACACTAACAAGCACCCTTTAATGGGCATCTGTAAATCAGTATTATCCTCATATATTCACTAGTTTTGTTTTCCCAATCGTGTTGGATGAATGGCGAGTTGGCAGATACGATCTTCTATTGCTTTACATACGAATTTATACCGCATTAGCTGTTGATCATGTTAATTCTATTCGCTGTGTAGCGTAGACAAATAAAATAAATAGTATTATTTAATCATATTGCAAACTACCGATAAACAGCTCAAGTATGCACTACCTTCACACACACACACACACACACACGTAGCTTTAGAATGAAATTTGAATAAACAAATCAGAATTCTTTATAGAAGTCCAATCTAATAGTTTAAACAATATTCAATCTCCTGGTATGGCTTTTCGCAAGAGGCTTAAAACAATATGTACTTTATGTGATGCCCCACAATTAGCAAGTTTGTAAGCCATGTACATAAGGATCCATTGAATGTGTACATGCACACAAGGAGTGAAAACAATAGAGGAGTTGTTAAAATATGCATATAGCAATAGAATGAATTTGTAACTTTAATGTACTATAATGTGCACATTAAAGCTAAATTGCAGAGAAAAATATACCACAATTATATTTTTCTTATGGTCATAAAGTGACGTATATTGTACATCATGCATACCCAACAATCTTTATTACAAAAATGGGAAAGGTAATCACAAACAACAAAGAGAGTCTGTAGATTCATACCAGAAAATCTGCAAAGCCAACCAAGGCTCAATTCAAGGACAGGAGAGTGGTCCTCTTCAGGCCATAATTTGTCATATCTTCCATGAAATGCAAGTAACAAAGCAAGTACAATCCTTTTCTTTTTTAGCTTTCAATGGGTCCCAGCAGCTTCAGATTCGTTGATGTGGGGCATGCTGTCATATTCCTTTTTTTTTTTTTCAATTGAAGAATGAAAAATTTTGGGCCCCTCTTACTTTTTTTTTTTTTTTTTTGAACTGTAGGATGAATAAGTACCAAACTTAATAAAGGAGACAAAATAGAATGTGTTCCATATTCCATTCCCGTCCTTCAAACAATCCCAAGGAGGAGCATCTCTCAACCATTTTTTCCTTCAGCTTGTGTCAAATTCCAAGTTTCTAGATGCTCAAGTCAACAGAATCTTCTTCTACATTCTCCAAATTTAACCAGTTACATTTTTATTATGTCTCCACCTGCACCCTTTAACACAGATAACCAGAAACTAAGTCCCATATGTAATATCATTAATTTAATAGCCATACTAGCAAGTTAAAAGTAACTCGAGTTTAAGCTAAGTAATAAAGTTATGGGAGTTCTAAGAATCATTCTCTAGGAAGGAAAGGTGACTGAAGGTTTCAAAGACCACAAAGATAGTGGATTTGCCTAAGGAAATTTCTCTTAGAACTGAGAATACGGTGCCTACCTTGCTAGACGACGAATATGAATTTGCAGAGAAAAATATCTGGTGGATCAATTCTGGTACCTATTGTAAGGTGTGAAATGTTTCGGAAGTTATAGTGCAGAGGAATTCAAATGGCAAGTGTTGTCTGAAAGTGGAAAGTATAGTTGCAGAACAGGGCCCACAGATGCTCAAAATTGAAGAGCGAGATATCTTTTTGAGTTGCTGTGAGGATTGGAGTGGATTGGGCATTCTGTTGGTTCTGTCCAAGATTCTATCCCTTGCTTGGACCCCAACCATAAACTACCACCCCCCCCCCCCCCCCCCCCCCCCCCCCCCCCCCATTTGCTTTATAAAGACATCACTAGGAACACCTTTGCTTTGTGAGAACTGGTCAAAAAATACAGGAGATAGATAATAGCAGTGGCAGGCAGACTTCTTGCAGGAAGTAACAAGGCTCAGAATTGCACGGAAGAATCAAATTCCACATTTCAGGGGTAGGCACATTGGATCAACAGAAGTTGGAACTCGTCAGGTAAAAACACAAATATTCACGAATTGGATCATACGACCATTTGTGCTGCTAATATGAAGCTAATCATAATTTTTTTATTCTGACCACAGATGTATCATCATCAGAATCATCAAGGACAGAACACCCATCATTTCTCAAGAATGCCGATCACTCCACAAAGGCATTTGTTCCTGCAAGGTGGGAATGGCGCAGGAGATTCAGGACTTGTCCTTTCAACCGATGCCAAACCTAGACTGAAATGGACCCCGGACCTCCATGAGCGGTTTATAGAAGCAGTCAATCAGCTCGGAGGAGCAGACAGTAAGTTTATACAGCACTCTTAAGGTCAAAAGGCACCAACGAAGATTTTTCCAGTGTTCAGTTTATTGAAACATGTCTTCTTTTGCTGCAGAGGCTACTCCAAAAACTGTTTTGAAACTTATGGGTATTCCAGGACTTACTTTATATCACTTAAAGAGCCATCTCCAGGTAAACATTTCAGACCACCCAATGCTAAAATTTCTTCAGAATCAGGGTTTTCTCCGGTATGTATTTCCAGTTCAACAGTTACCAGTTCAAGGCAATAATAAGCAGGTCCACCATTTCAAACAAAAAACAATTGCCTAAGAAAGTATGTTGTTCCATGTCTTTCAATCAAGACATCCATTACGTATGATGTGACCAGTAGGAACCTGACTAGAGGCCCAAAACACAATGCATTAGAAGAGAAAACCTCCAACAATATACTACAGAGACCCTTTTTGTGTGTCTGGGGATGTGTGTGTGTGTGTTTTGTTGTGGGGGACGGGGGAGCTGGGGGGAGGGGGGTGGTTGTCATAACATGAGTCTCACAGTAACTCCACCTTTTGGCTGGCAGAAATACAGGCTCAGTAAGAATCTCCATGGACAAGCTAGTGGGATCGACAAATTTGGTAAATTCAAGAATCACCAGAACAGAAATTTTCAAATAATTCATCAATTACTAGCATTAGACAATAAAAAAATACTTACCAAGTTTAGAAACGTTTGCAGCAGGAGGAGACAGGATATCCGAGGCAAATGGAATCCATATGAGTAATCCCAGCATTGGACCTCAGCCAAATAAGTAAGCAGCGAAAACCTTTTCTTTATGTTCATTCATCCATTTACTTATATTTGATAGATGACATTCCAAATGATATTTTACTCTAACTACGGCATCTTATATTCAGAAGCTTATATATGAACGAAGCAATACAGATGCAAATTGAAGTGCAGAGAAGGCTACATGAGCAGCTTGAGGTATAAAAAACTGAAAGATCTCCCATGTATATAAAACCATTAGACGGTCTTTACACTATTGACAAAAATATCAGCAATCATTCATGCATACAAGATGTCATTGTACTTTCAGTATATCTGTTCTGTTTCTACATGCTAAATGAAGTTCTATTCCCTAAAGAGGAAAATGAAAATTTTTTAAAAGAAAAAGAAGGAAAGAAAAAAGAACTGATAAATTCCTGGCTCCCCAGTTTACAACTACGTTAATTTTAATCATGGGAAAGTAGGAATACATACAGTGGCGGAGCCAGAAAATGATTTGAGAGGGGGAGGACTCGAACAATAATAATAAGATATATATATAATAATAAATAATAAATAAATAAATCAAACTACCATAATAAACAAAAGAACTTTACTTTAATAGACATTTTCATTGAAAATCGCTCATACTTCCATTTCAATAATTTGTTTGGCAATACCTCGGTTTCAATTATTATCAAGCTAACATATTAAAAGCAATTTAAATTAAAATAATTCTAAAGAGCCATGTACTCTTATAAAAAAATTAATTTAGAAAGAAAAATAGATATTGGAACCTATCGAGTTTTACATGATTAATCTTGGATTTTTTTGTAGACCAAGATGGTAATTAAAAACAATCTTAGAAAATTTGTGGTCAACCCATATCCAAGAAGCCTGACATATTTGTGAAGTTTAAAGAGAGAGAGAGAGAAAGGATGACCGTGGTAGGTTTTGGGGCATGTATAAGGGGTTTTGTTAAAATTTTAACAATCTTTTCAGCAATGACATAACGAGTTGATGTTACTTATCAAAAAAAAAAAAAAAATGACTTAATGAGTTGATGTCCATGGCATCCAGCTTTTAAGTTCCATAGGTACTTGCATTCAGTGCAAATAAGTATAAAGTATATCCAGAAACAATGCTCATCCCAAAGAACCATCAATAACTATGACATTTATAGAATTTCATCATTTTAAAGTGTCACAAAATGTAAAAAAATCTGTTATTCAAATCAAATATGTTGTTACCTCTCTAGAAACTGATGACCAACTTACTACCTTCAGAGATAAACCTTGCCCATTTCTTCCGATTGTGTTGAAATTTCATACTGTTTCATGAATGTAATACTGTAAATCTAACCATTAGAAGACGCATTGTTCTCTTGATCCTGTCTGCTCTCCTACCGAATTTGGCAAAGAATTTTCTTGGTTCCTCCTTGAACAAATTTCTAATTCTGAACTGAAACAGGTACAGCGGCACTTGCAACTTCGTATAGAGGCTCAAGGAAAGTACCTGCAGGCAGTGCTGGAGAAAGCTGAGGAAACCCTTGGAAGACAAAACTTGGGTATGGCAGGATTGGAGACCGCCAAGGTTCAGTTATCTGAACTGGTTCCCCAAGTGTCCACCCAGTGCCTTAATTCTGCATTTTCAGGGCAGAAAGAACTTCCGGCTTTGCACCCACAGCAAACACAAACAAACCAGCCCACTGATTGTTCAATGGACAGCTGCTTGACCTCCTGTGAAGGTTCTCAAAGGGACCAAGAGATGCACAATAGTGGGATGGGGTTGAAAGCTTTAAATGGTACTGCACCCTTGGAGCCAAAGGAGATTGGCAATGAGACCAGGCTACAGGAGACTGAACTCAGACGGTGTACAGAGATGAAAGAGCACAAAAAATATCTTTCTTCCATGGCCGAGGATACAGAAATACTATTTCCTGCAAAATTAAGCCCCAACAAGTTGTCAATGAGCACTGGACTTCAGGGAGCAAAAAGGAATAGCAGCAACCATTCAGAGGGAAGATTTATAGAAAAGCATATCGATTTGAACTTCCATGACGAAACCACAAACGTAGCGGATTCAGTTACAAATGAGAAACTACCACAAGGATATAAACTGCATTACTTTGAAACAAGTTTGGACCTAAATGCCCATGATGAAGTTGATGCCGTCTTAAGATGCAAGCCATTTGACTTGAATGGTTCCAGCTGGAGCTGAGAGTGTCAAATGTGACTAAAATATGAGACTAGTCATACACAACTGGTACTCCAATTTTGATTTTACATCAGAGAAGGAAGTTAGTATGTCAGCACATGAACCTGCTTCTCTCTCATCTAGGTCAGTACGCTAATAAGTTGAACTGTTGAAGCAGGTCATGCATTTTAATCTTTGTAATATAAATTGATCCAGTAAAATGTCATTTTACTATCTGGTATTTTGTTTAAATATTTAAGGATTACAAGATAAAAAATTATGCATGGATATTTACTTTGCATTAGCATAATGTAAAAGATCACAATAACAATTGTTAAAATGGAAATCTAGGTTAAAACAGGAAAGTTTCTGGCAACCAAGCAACATAAGAAAATAAGCACTGCTTTTGAAAAAGAAATATTCAGGCAAGGAAGCAACATAAGAAAAATAAGCAGTCTTTAAATTCTTGCCCGCTAAAATATTCTGAATTACTTCCAGAAAATTGCAAATTTGTGTATAGGCACTTTGTCCAGCTCAAATCAGAAATTTTTTTACAAGTAAGGTCAACATAAAACTATTTTGTCTCTAAACTCTTTGTGATAAAATATAAAATGAGGCCGACAGTTGAAAATTTTAAAATGCTTATAAGATATTAAAACCGAAACAAATTTATAAAATATAAAGATATGCGGGCTTCCTCTGAAATCCAAAATTCTCAAATCAAAACAGCCCAAGAAATGAAAAATAAAGTGATGTAATTTAGTCCCAAGGACTTGTTTTATAGTAGAAACATAAACCTCAACCCAAACTTTTACTTGCATCCATGAGATACTAGTACATAAGTAATTTTTACTTGTATCCATATTCACAGTTCCATCACGTAATTCTTGGTCTCTTCTCATTCTATTTATTAGAAAATAAATAAGATAACCGATAAAGACTCATATTCTTGTATATAACAACAACAAAAAAAAGGGAAAAATCAAGTATCAAACATAGATAGCAAGTATGCCACATTAAAAGAACGCCATCCATCCACAAGTAAAAGACAATCATATCTTATTTGTTATAAAATAAACGTCATGAATTCCTTTTCAATATGTCCTAAAATAAGTGTTGGAAAAATTAAAACTCTCCAACATTATCCTTAGATTTTGAAAACTTCCCCAAATTATCAATGTAAAGCTTTAAATTTTGGAGGGTTACTTTTGAAATTTTAAAGAGGGACATGCATCAAATGCATTCCCTTACGAAGTTAAAGTCCCCAAAAAAGGACACTTATTTGTGATTGAGGTAGTAAGTTGATGATGATAAATCAATGGTATTTTGAATCTAGCATCACTGACAAAAATCATTCACCCAAAGAGGAAACAACACCTTATGCTGCTTGTTCAACTGAAAAACTTCACAATCTATGCCAGAATTTGATTGTAATGTCAAAACCGAATCCTTCAATGATTCAGCAAGGATGACTGAGTATACGATGCCACTGTCAAGGAGATACACTTACTAGTACTAGTAACGAAACACCACTAGAGTTGGATTCAGCCCCAAGGTACATGAGTCATCCTTTTCATGACCTCCATCATTCATATTCCCATTTTGAGGATTTAAAAGACATGAGGGAAATATAATGTTACATAGCAATTAGGAGTTTTAATCAATTTTCTAACAGATAGGAGATTCGAAACATAGGATTATGATATGCAAATGATAAATTAACAGATGACGTATTATTACCAGAAGAACTACCCACAATATTACAAGAATGGCAATCAACATGAAAAGAAACTGAAATACCGTATGAACCGATGCTTCTCGGTGAATGCCCAATAGCACATATTAGAGGAAGACACACAACATTACCTGGATTGGCAAAGCTAGCTACACCATCGGTAGATTTTCTCCGTGCTTGTTGGACTAAAGCATTGTACTCCTTGGAAAGTGTCTAAATCATATTGGAGACATATGATGGAACAATAAGGGCACTGACATTCTTTTGGGAAGAAGTACCAGCTCTGAGGAAAAATTTCCTGATTATTGTGGTTAGCCCATGCATATTCTATAATGTTATAGTACTTATCAACAGTTTGACTCCCTTCCCCACACAGTGTACCCGCTCTGTGTTACTGTGTACGATCAATCACAACTTCTGCGCCATTAAAAACATAAAGACATTACTCAGGCCTCTAAAACCACCAAAAGATCTTGCTGACCCCTTTTGCTAGTACCACGACGACAAAAAAACAAAAAAACCCTGTTGACCTATTAAATTGATCAAAGTCGAGCTGCCTCTTCCTACAGAAACCAAAGAAGATAATGATGATGATGATCTAATGGAAGCTCAAAGAAATCATGGGTACACAGTACGCTTAAGTTAAATGAAGAAATACTACTATCATTTGTCAAAAACTGCCTTTGAATTGTCTAAAGATAATAATTAAGTATAAATTACTTGCAACTAAACTCCTCACACTGTTTCTTAAGAATCAAAAGGTCTTAGTAAGTTGATGATATTGATTTAATTTGTCCAAAATCCCCTCAAAAGCGCTAGAATATTCATTCAGGATCTTATCTCATTGCTAAAGGAGAAACAAATTTTTTTATACAATTAATAAACTCCAGAAACATTCTTTTACATAGAAATCATGTAAGGGAATACAGCCCAATATTCCTCTGCAGTATTCTAAAACATAACAATAGAACTAATACAACAAAAACAACCACCAAACCTTTTTCCCAACTACTTGGGGTCGGCCACATGAATCCTATGTGTCCATTCTGCACTATTTAAGGCCATAGCCTCAGTCTCCATATTATTCCACAATCAAGTCATCAGTTAGCAGAAGACACGAGTTAATTCTCAAACTGCCACTCATCCAACTGTGTGCTACCCTTACATGGGTGGTGCAAACAAACATTCTTTAACTTCTTTCGAGCCCACAAGGCTACCCTCATAGCCTGCGTCTGTAAGTAATTAGAACAAATTGAATTTCATCATTATAATATATATAGAGAGAGAGAGAAAGAGATATATGCTTTCCATGGAATAAATAGGCACAATTTCTACTTCACTAGTTTTCACCAAAATTAAGTGCACTATATAGCACTCAAATAACTACTTAACAAAAATCACTAATCAATGAGGATTGAGGAACCAGCAATCAATCTTTTTTTAAGTAAGACCACAATCTAAAACCAAAGTCCCAAACAACTTAAGAAAACGAAATAAATTGAGACAAAAAAAAACAAAAAATGTGAAATCACCAGACTCAATCTAGACATTTATGATCCATTTATAATCATAACTTCCTGAGTGATGGTAATGTTTAATAAATAAAAACAAAAATAACTTGGTACCTAGGCAAAATGTCCAAATAATATGGTTCAATAGTAGAGTTTAGGCACCTCGTTTCGCTTCAAAACCCGTAACTGATGAAGAAGAGGTAACACCCACAGCATTGGAATACCCGACAGCCCATACAAAAGGCATTCTTTGGGACAGGCTAACCCTAACCCATTATGCACCTCTGGTACCTTTATTGATTAAAGGCTGTAAAAAAATAAATTAACAATGAAAAACATTGAGGGGAAAGGGAAAATAAAAAAAGGAAAACCAAAAAGGAACTCAAGACTATCTTGTGATTCATCAATTTCGTTTTCAAAAATAAAAGAAAACCATGATCTTCAACCTTTTCAATCACAAAAAGGAACGACTTCATCGTAATATGCAACCTTTTCAAATTTAGCCGACCATCTAATCACTGCAAGATAATAATAATAATAATAACATTAAAGAACAAAATAAAAAACACAAAAAGGAAGAAGAATAAGAACAATAATCAACTACGGCTATTATTTACCTTCCGAATATATATATATATATATACGCGCATTCAACTTACAATCAATGGCAACTACACCATCTGGACGAGTAAGAAGAAAATCTCGTGATCGCCATTGGTTTCGAACTTGCGATAAGCATAAAAAATAAATGACTAACTTCGTCCTAATCAATACCAAATTTACTCTTGGTTTGTACTCTAAAAATAATTATCAGAAGACTCGGGATAATTTCAGAAAACAATAAAAGTGTCTGAAAATTGAATCAAACAAATATATATATATATATATATATATATATATATATATATATATATATACAAATTAGAAAATAAATGAGTAACTTCATCCTACATAAATCACTACCACATTTACTCTTGGTTTGTGACTCTAAGAATAATTATAAGAAAGTTCAGAAAACAAATAATTAGAAAGCTCAAAAAAACAAATAATAAAAGTGTCTCTGAAAACTGAACCAAATATTAAAAAAAATAATAATAAATATATTATATTTTCAATTTTCTAATAATCAAAAATTATTTTCGTAATTACTGGGCAACCATACTGAAATACTTTAGCTCCTCAAAAGCTTGTTGGCAGTGTTCATCCTACTCGGACCGTACACCCTTTTTAGTCAGATGCGTAAGTGGTCCCACTATATTCGAGAACCCCTTGATGAACCTATGATAATATCCGCCAATCCGAGAAACTCTGAATTTCGGTAGGTGAAGTAAGCTATCCCCACTCAACTACTGCTGAAACTTTGGCTGGATCCATCACAGATCAATCTTAGAGAAGTACGTAACTCCCTTCAACTGATCAAAAAGATCATTAATCCTGGGTAGAGGATACCTGTTACGTATAGTAATCTTATTCAAATCCTTGTAATCTATACACAGGCGAAGAGAACCATCCTTCTTCTTTACAAACAAAACCGGTGCTCCCCATGGCGATGTACTTCTGCGAATACAACCCTAGCTGAGTAATTGCTGAATTTCATCCCTCAGCTCTCGCATCTCTACTAGTGCCATCATGTATGGTGCTTTAGCAATAGGCGTAGTACCTAGAGCTAAGTCTATCACAAGGTCTAACTCCTGACCAGGTGGCAACCCTGGAATCTCCTGAAATATATCCGGGAAATCCTGTACAATTGGTATATTATCCAATGTTACAGTAGTCCCCTCCTCCGTTTCCTCCACATATGGAACAAACAAACGCTAATGACCCTGTCAGAATGTAGCATAGCAACGATGTAAAATATCCTGGCCAGGTATGGTGAACACAAAAGACCTATCCAAAACAATCAACTTGAGCGGTAGAGATAACCAATCCATCCCAAGTATCACATCAAATATGTGCATGTCCAGGACCACTAGATTGGCTATAAATCTGAGTCTACCAATATCTAGTGTCACAGGCACATCACTCCCAAGTAAAATGGCAACATCGCCTACAGGTGTAGAAACACTGTAGATCTATTAACATACTTGTGTCCACTAACTATCAAAACCAAAAATGCTGAAAACAACATAGAGTTAAACACATAAGGTATGCAAAAAAATTCTGAAATCCTCTCATATTTAGAGCATCATTCTATCTTGAGCATTTTTCATTTGAAATCAAACTTACCATATAAGCTCTTTATAAACTTGTTGATAATCGTCTCGTATCAATACAATGTATTTACAAGCAAATATCTGTGTGCCTGTCAAAACCAATCACTCCACTGTGATATGCCTCTATGATCGCAACATACATAACCCAATATAGTCTAGTAAAACCATATGTGTACCTATCACAACAAATACTATCATAAAACCAATAGAGGTAACCAAAACCACTAGTTTACTTTATTATAACTCCTTTAAATCCATAAACCTCCAAAAGAATAACCGTCATATATTCTTTAAATCAAAACTAGTGTAAACAGTACTATTATTTAAAAACAATACTCCTACTCCTACTAGTAGTTAAAATCATAGTACTCTTAAAAGAGCATTCATCCTTGAACTCTGGTGCTCTCCATCTTGGATGCTCCGGTATCTCCTCCATCCTGATCTTCTTCAGGGTCTTCCTCTCCGCTTGGCTCAGCTTCGAGCACCACTGAAGTTGTGTTAGGTCCACTATATGGTGGCCAATCCCGCACACAATAAACTTTCCTTGACCTATACTCCGAAGCAACCCCTGTTGGAAACAACTCCCTGGTCTCCAATTCCGCCTTCTTGATCGGCCTTCGTAGGGGAATTACCGGAGTAATCTTCCTCGGCCTTGGGCCCTTCTTTGCTTTCATCGCGGCCCTCGTCCTCTTCCTAGTGCCAACCATTCTGCAATTACAGAATAACTTGACATCAGTAACTTCTAAACGAACCCTAAAGGAATACGACAAATCCTAAACTTAAGCTCTAAACAATAGAGAAAACAATACGCGGAAGTCTTAAACGATAGAATCCTAGAGACACTTGAACCTGGAGTGCTCTGATACCAACTGTGATACCCCTCGATTCTAGAGCCACGGGTGATCAAGTCCGAACACAGATCCGAGGGATACCAAACAATTAATATGTAAATGAACACGGAATACAAAACAGAATTTGAAAAGAAATAAATAATATAGCTGAAAAGAAATCTAAAATAAAATCCTTATAGTTTAAAAATTAAAATAACAATAATATTCCAAACTTTCAATCTCTGTACAACTCGGAAATCCATCTAGTGGACCCCTTAGAATCCAAACTGAACTAAACAACCGAAGATTAAACCTCAATCTAGAACATAAAATAAAATCCTACATTATCGGAAGAGTGAGTGTCTGTATCTGCTCTGCACATCCAAGCTTTAGCCCTGGAACTGACGAATACCTGAAAAATAAAGGAGTGGGTCATGCCCACATGCAAGTCCTATTCTACTACGATCCAATCAGAAACCCGATACGTAGATACATCCTAGATAGCTTAACAATATCTAGAGTAGTCCATACATATATAATTACACACTATAGGATGCTCACTAGTCCAAGCGGTACGTCTCAACCTGAGTAGAGATACCATGCAAATCGCACATACTGTAGTCATGTGTATCTGGACCTACCAGGGAACAGAAACCACCGTCCAATTATCCATCCTAGGCAATATATGCACCCTAACCATGGTTCTGAGACTCAAGCTCATACCATGGCACCATAACATAAATATATAAAGTCCGTTCAAGGTGTGTCATTCAAAAGGTTTATTGACCCGACACATAGTTATAAGTAAGACTTAACATTTTGTAGTTAATACATCTTATTTTAAAATAGGTAGAACTTAGTGTTTGAACTAATCCATCCCCAATATAGGTAGGTCTTAGTGTTTTGAACTAAGCCGTCCCCAATATGCCAACATCCCACACCGATGTATATACATACATATAAGTAGGACTTAACTTTTATAGTTAATCCAACTTATTCCAACACAAGTAGGACTTAGTATTTTAACTAATCCATCCCTAGCATAGTTAGGTCTTAGTGTTCTGAACTAAACCGTCCCTAGTATGCCACCGTCCCATACCGGTGCATACAAACCTCCACATAGTATAATTGATTAAATAATATTAAGCAATTCATCAACCATACTCCAAACTATGCATCAATACAAATTAATACATATATATATATATATATATATATATCAATATTAGGCATTCATTAAAGGGCCTAAATAGCATTCCAATAATGTAAACTGCTAAAATAATCTAAGCATTTACATTCTCCAACTTGTCCATAAATTGATGTAGTTAAATAGCAAACATATATCAATTTTTAATCCAAACCAAGCATAGATAATTTTAGGTAAATCACTATACTTATAACTCCATCTAAATATGATTTATAACTTTAAATCATAAATAAAAACAATCTCCAATTTACAGTAATAAATTCATTAACCATAACAGTGCACAACCTACAGGTTTTTCCTCAAGTTCACCTTACTCCATTCCTTAATCAAATTATGAATTGATGTTTCCCTATTGGTTTTACAGGTTTACAACATTCATACACATGATTTAAAATAGTTTAAACCAAGTAGAAATATCCTGCACCGACCAAACAGACCCTAAAAATACATAATAGTGCGTTTCAGAGGAAGAGAAGGCTCAGAAAAATTTAGAGCCTTCTCCAAAATATGGGAGCCGGCTCCCCACCCTTGGGAGCTGGCTCTAAGGTCTTGGGAGCCGGCTCTTGCTTTGTGGGAGGCGGCTCCCTCCTTTTGGGAGCCGGCTCTCTCACCCTTAAGAGCCGTCGTCCGTCCCTGCTTCGTCTTCCTTGCTTCCGGTGATTCCCAAGCCTTCTGAAATTTTTTAAACACTTGTTCTAATGTTCACTCAGTGTCCTAATTCATTTTAAAGACATCAACAAACTTTATTAAACAAGGTTTAACAATTTATGTAGAAGTTTGCAATTAAACGGTTTAAGAGTTTCCAAAACAGTTTTACTTAACAAAACAATTCCAGTTTACCCAAGTCTCTGTAAAACTTGTAATACATGATCTAATGTTCAATCAATGTCCTATAGTAAGTAAAAAAGCATCAATGACAACAATTAAGATAAGTTTAAACTCAACAAAGCGTACATCCGTTAACAGAACGGTGAGAACTTGTAATCCAGTTTAATTCAACAAAATTACATATAGTTAAAGCATGCATAAAAACCTGTTTTAGCATCCATTAAAGCCCTGGAGTCTACATAAGCATGCACAGAACACGGATAAAAGGGAAAGAGTAAAAACAAGACTTGCCTGCAATTTCAGATTTTGAAACTGTAAACCACTGTCTCTGAGTTCTCCGTCAACGTTTTCGACTACAGTTCTACACCTCTGGCGCTCTTAGTTCAATCCAGAAGGAACCCCCGTTCCTTTCTCCTTGAACCTCTCTATTAAACCTTCAAAGATCTCACACTCTGCTGCTCTCTGTATATCTCTCTGCTTCACAGACGTGACTATGGTGACTAGGGTTTTATTTGTAACTCTAAACCAACGTATAATATGTATATATACAGGCTTCACACCACAATCCTAATTCTAATATAAAACCATCCCTAAAATCCACTCCCTAACTATTGTCGGCGTGTAAAAATAAACCCTAATAAAACAACCACAAATAACATTTAAATGCAGACCCACATAGGCACGTAAATAATAAAAACTCAACAATACAATTCAGTGAATAAAACATAATAAAATACATTTTAATTTACCAATTAAAA